TGCTCCACGGCGGGATTTGACACAGTTCCCATACTACGTCATCGACGTAAATGTCGAAGTGACCGCCTTGAAAGGGAACGTCTCCGGTTACTTTCGTAACCTCGGTTCCCTGAAAGGCAGGGAACGAGACATTTACGTCGAACGCCGTGTCGCTTGTTCTTTCGAGCGTTCAGTCGTATTCTGATGCAATTGATGCGCATATGCAATTTATACTGCCAGCAGGCGTGTCAGTATTTGCATATTTTGTGTCAATTGGCCAGCTGTCTCCAGCTGGCGTTAGCCCATAAGATTTCAGCAGAAGTGAAGAAGGGGAGGAGTTCCCATACTACGTCATCGACGTAAATGTCTCGTTCCCTGCCTTTCAGGGAACCGAGGTTACGAAAGTAACCGGAGACGATTCCCTTTCCGTTGGGACAAAACGCTTAACACATACAGTGATATGAAAGACCAATCTTGCACCTTATTGGGGATGTAGGCTGTAGGCTACTATATAGGCTACAGGCAAGAAGATGGACTCAGATAATAAACACTTTCTATTCTATTCTATTCTCTCTCTCTCTCTCTCTCTCTCTCTCTCTCTATATATATATATATATATATATATAAAGTCCTTAAATGCCTACGTGTATTGCATTAGCTTAAACTGGGATCATAGCACTTGCATATTGTTGTCCTCCTATTGTTAGTTTAACTGTAATCGCTTTGGATAAAAGCGTCTGCTAAATGACTAAATGTAAAATTGGCTTGACATTGGACATTCGCACATTTAGGACCGTCTCTAAAGTTGCATACAACATTGGCAAGTACGTTTCTAACTTCAATCGCAAACTTACATTTATTTGAATAAATATCAAAATCCAAAGGGTGCGCATTATGCATAACACTACATGAACACTTACAGTTGGTTTTATGACTGTAAGTCGTTCTATTCAAATGCTATTGAAGTTAGAAACGTGTATACCAAAGTCGTATACACTTTAGAGACGGTCCCTAAATGTGCGAATGTCCAACATCAAGCCAACTTAATGCCAGTCTATCACTGGGAAACGCTTAGCTGTGCGCGTTATTCTGAGTCCTTCTGCTTGCCTGTGAGTTTGGACTTTTACATCACTAGTCCATTAAGCTACGTTAAGCGTATATGTCCAGCAGGGGAATCCTGAAGTATTGAGGGAAACATAATAGCCTGCATGCAGCACATCGCCACAATATAAAGTTAAGGCAACTAAACAACCAAGAGAAATATATGTCAACCTCAAAAATGTAACATTGGATCTGTATATCCGCATCGGGGAATAAAATTATGATCTCGTTCACGGTAGAGAAATATGCATGTAGGCTGCACAGGAAAAGTAACCGTGAAGGCACCGAATTTAACAAAAACAGCCGTCATAATAATCACAAATAAACTTACATTGCTGTAAATGAGTTTTATGAATGAATGACTTGCTCTAATTTTGCTGGTCTTCGTCAACAACAAGCGCTTTTGCACCCCCTGATGGTGAGGTCGACTAACAGCAGATGGAGATTATGCTCGGCAATCTTCTGCTTTTCCTGCAGTTCCTGGACGTCAATGTTGAATTTACTGTCGAATTTGAACCACTGAATTTGTGGAAGCGAATTTGCAAAGCGAAATAAAATGGACCGAAAATTGCCTGTTGAATATTATTGGTTGTATTTTTAAACAGTTTGAATATTTTGGAAATGAAATATGAATGGTGAATATGGATTATTGAATTTTGAATAATGAAAATGTGTTTGAAATGTTTTTAATTGAAATATTCACAGCTTAAATATTCAACCATGTTGAATTTCAGCCCATAAAAATGCAAGCCCTAAAAATACAATGCATAAAAATGCAAGCATGGTTAATGCAATGCCTATTTTTTTTCAAGTAGTGCAATTCAACAGGCTTTTTATTTCAAAAACATTTGACATTATTTTACTTCCATAAGCAAGCCCAACTGGAGTACAGAGGCCGCTGAGGCCATCAGCCCCAGCATTTTCTGAAACCTTTTGAGCGGAACTATCGAGCCGTGGCGGAAGGATTTCGCGACGCGCTGAATATTTAGTCCGCGCTCTGGTGACAGACGTGCCGTCATGGATAGCGAGTCTAACACTGTTCCCAGAAAGGAAATTTTCTGACTGGGAGACATTGAGCTCTTCGCCCAATTGACTGTGAGGCCCAGCTCCTCGAGGTGCTCGAGTAATGCGGCCCTGTGTTCTATGAGCTCCGATCGTGATCGAGCTAGAATCAGCCAATCGTCCAAGTAGTTCAGGACTCGCATGCCCTGAAGTCTCAGGGGTGCGAGCACCGCGTCCATGCACTTCGTGAATGTACGAGGTGCTAGGGACAGGCCGAACGGCAGGACTGTGTATTGATATGCCTGGCCCTCGAAAGCGAATCTCAAGAATCGCCTGTGATGGGACACTATTTGTATTTGGAAATAGGCGTCTTTCAGATCTATTGACATAAACCAGTCCCCGTGGCGCACTTGCGCGAGGATTTTCCTGGTCGTAAGCATTCTGAACTGGCGTTTCACAAGCGCTCTGTTCAGCTGTCTGAGACCCCCATCCTTTTTCGGTACCAGAAAATATCAGCTGTATAGGCCCCCTTCGCTCTGAGCCTGAGATAAAGGTTCTATAGCCCCTTTGCTCAGTAGTTTCGCTATCTCGGCACGAAGTAGATGAGACACTTCGTTTTTCACCGTAGTTTCGACACGCGCCGTATAACGGCGAGGGCGTCGAGCGAATTGTAGCGAATAGCCTCTCTTTATAGTGTTCAGCACCCATTCTGATACCCCGGGAAGCTTTGACCATGCATCCGCGTGAATAGCTAGAGGCAGAATGAAATCCGGGCTCTGGCCGCGGCAAAACGGCAGCTCGAGAGCCCTGGTATACTGGGAACACAACACCGTGTTTACAGCGTTCGAGGCGGGGGGCGCACTGATCACAGCAGGCAGCCTGGCCGCGCTCAGCTTTTCTATGGCAGATTGTGCAGAAAAAGTGAGCGGGGCAGATCCCGTAGGATTCGGCGTGTCTGTGAGAAAATGGGCGCGGGACTGCGGGCACATTTACTACACTGAAAACATTGTTGGTTAGAGCCGACTGAATGTGTGTTGGTTTCGTTTTTACAGAAACCAAGGGACACGCAGCATGCAGTGTAAGCGGGCATTGTGACATGGGCGCGTTCACTACATTGTTTGCACACTCGACCTGAGTCGATTTTATTTGTGCTAGCCCTGCACCGTGGCGGGCTGTGTCTGGGTGTGGGAATGGGCACTGGGGCGTGGGCATTCTTACAACACTCATAACACCATCGGCCGTGGCCGTAACACCAGAAAATGCACTCTTTATTAGATTTATCTGGGTAGCCGTAAAAACGGCTTTTGTGCGCAGGCAAACGGGCTGAGACACCGGCTGGCTCACTGCGAAATACACTGGGACAGTCGCGATGCTTGGAACTGACCGAGCGAGAAGTTTTGGTGGAAATCCGGCCGCAGCGGGATCTGAACACCGTCGCTTTCCTAGAATGGCTAGGAAGACTTTGAGGCCTCGGGCTTGATCTCAATCCTCGGCCGGGGCCCGCGCTGAGGGGGGCGGCGTCCAGCAGAGCGAGAGCGCGGTCTTTGGTTTCGGGCGCGGCGGCGGCGGCGGGCGGTGCAGATGAGACATTCATTTCCGAGAAAGCGTCCGTCCAGTCTGTTGCGCGGCGGTTGCGCGGTCGCCTCCCAGTCGAGGCCGATGCTTTCCACGGCCTGAGAGAGCAGACGAATCAGCTCAGTCTCAATGCCGGCTCTCTTACCAGTGGTTTGGCGGGAAACGCTAGCGGAGGGGAGGTCCACGGAGCTCGCCCAATCCTCGCTATCAGATGCCAGAAGAGAACACGCCTCGGTGGGTTCGTCGAACTCGTGGACGGACGCGGCGGCCGTTGTCCGTCAGTGAGCGACTCCAGCGAAGCCGGCAAAGCTGGCGGGCAAACCGGCGAGCTTTGGCGGGCTGGAGAGAGCTCGGGAGCGCGCTGGGCGCGGCGCTTCTTGCGGCGCGGCACCACGGCGGGCTGTGGTGAAGGCTCGGAGAATGATGCCAGGCGAGTCCTCAGAGTCACCATAGGCAAAAGCTCGCAATGAGGGCATCCGCCGTCAGCGAGCGCGATGGCCGCGTGATCCTCACCCAGGCAGGACACACAGATGACGTGACGGTCCCCGTCGCTGAGTGGGGCGCGGCACGAGCCACAGGATGGCATCTTTAAAAAGACGCAGCTCTTTTGTGATGAGAAGTGTGAGTCGCGTCAAGTAAGCGAGCAAACACTCTCAGCAGAGTAAGGATACAAAGTGATATAAAAGGATATAGAACGCCGGAAAGCACAGCAGGTACGGCAGTTGAAGGTGGCGAGGCCAGCGACTCCAGAGCTCGTCCCGCTGAAAAGCTTGCTTCGACGGCGCGGCTTCTCACTCCGGATCCAGCGATGCGTGTGCTTCGCTGAAGAGATGAAAATCAGCTTGTACCAGCCTAACGAGCATATTTATAGAGTGAGATCACCCCCTTTCTGGCGGGACGTGACGATATGGGCGCGAGTTGCCCCCATTGGTCATTACGTCACGCAGAGTCTCTCTCGATAGGCTGCTGCATTTGCCGCAAGAGCAGCCAATAGGCACGCGAGCTGTCTCGCCTGTGTCTGCTTGCTGCTGCAAAGCGTTTTACATTAATAAAAAATTAAGGATAATTTTTGGCTTCAATATCTCGTGGAAAAGAGGTTTTCCCCTAGCGTAAGCTATTACGCAGTACGAGAGATACTCTCGTAAGAGAACCACAAAATGGGGAAGAATTGAATAAAAAGACGACATACCCACCCTGATTTGTTAAGTCGTTCAGAAATTACTTTAGTTAATCTTGTTTTTTACTTGGTAGGCCTATTATATGTTTTATAAAGTCAACATAATATCAAATCTAATAATAAATAAAAAAACATTTTATTTTCAAAATAGTTATATGATACTCACTCGGTTCGGATGATGCTGAAAATGTAAATGAAGGACTATTCCCAAGGAAAAGACTGACTAATAGTAATATCATCTTGGAAAGGTTTACATAACTCACTGGTTTTGTGTCTGTTTCTATCTTTCCTGTTCTGTTCTAAACGTATCCGCTCTTTGTGGGCTGACGTATATGTGAGATTTCCTGTTTCTGAAGAAGCCACTTTTTGCTCACCGCCTGAAAAGAACTGAATGCTAAATTTGTTTTTAAGTTGCATATTGTTACACACTATTTTTCAGATGCCGATTCACTTGTACATAAAAACTCACATATTGAGTTTAAACCCTAAAACAAGCAAGACTAATATATATATATATATATATATATATATATATATATATATATATATAGGCCCATATACTGTATATATATACACTCACCTAAAGGATTATTAGGAACACCTGTTCAATTTCTCATTAATGCAATTATCTAATCAACCAATCGCATTGCAGTTGCTTCAATCCATTTAGGGGTGTGGTCCTGGTCAAGACAATCTTCTGAACTCCAAACTGAATGTCAGAATGGGAAAGAAAGGTGATTTAAGCAATTTTGAGCGTGGCATGGTTGTTGGTGCCAGACGGGCCGGTCTGAGTATTTCACAATCTGCTCAGTTACTGGGATTTTCACGCACAACTATTTCTAGGGTTTACAAAGAATGGTGTGAAAAGGGAAAAACATCCAGTATGCGGCAGTCCTGTGGGCGAAAATGCCTTGTTGATGCTAGAGGTCAGAGGAGAATGAGCCGACTGATTCAAGCTGATAGAAGAGCAACTTTGACTGAAATAACCACTCGTTACAACCGAGGTATGCAGCAAAGCATTTGTGAAGCCACAACACGCACAACCTTGAGGCGGATGGGCTACAACAGCAGAAGACCCCACCGGCTACCACTCATCTCCACTACAAATAGGAAAAAGAGGCTACAATTTGCAAGAGCTCACCAAAATTGGACAGTTGAAGACTGGAAAAATGTTGCCTGGTCTGATGAGTCTCGATTTCTGTTGAGACATTCAGATGGTAGAGTCAGAATTTGGCGTAAACAGAATGAGAACATGGATCCATCATGCCTTGTTACCACTGTGCAGGCTGGTGGTGGTGGTGTAATGGTGTGGGGGATGTTTTCTTGGCACACTTTAGGCCCCTTAGTGGCAATTGGGCATCGAATCATTTCAAATTGGTTTCTTGAACATGACAATGAGTTCACTGTACTAAAATGGCCCCCACAGTCACCAGATCTCAACCCAATAGAGCATCTTTGGGATGTGGTGGAACGGGAGCTTCGTGCCCTGGATGTGCATCCCACAAATCTCCATCAACTGCAAGATGCTATCCTATCAATATGGGTCAACATTTCTAAAGAATGCTTTCAGCACCTTGTTGAATCAATGCCACGTAGAATTAAGCCAGTTCTGAAGGCGAAAGGGGGTCAAACACAGTATTAAAATGGTGTTCCTAATAATCCTTTAGGTGAGTGTATATATAGCAGCAATAAGTTGAAGGAATCATTTTCTGTATGAATTTATCAGTCTCTTACATCATTCTGGAGGAATTTTGGATTGATCTTCTTAACGTTGCTTCAGTTCATTGAGGTTTGTGGGCATTTGTTTATGCACAGCTCTCTTAAGGTCCCGCCACAACATTTCAGTCGGTTGAGGTCTGGACTTTGACTGGGCCAACACCTTAATTCTTTTCTTTTTCAGCCATTCTGTTGTAGATTTGCTGGTGTGCTTGGGATTATTGTCCTGTTGCATGACCTAATATTGGCCAAGCTTACAGATGGCCTCATATTTGAGTCAAGAATTACAGAGTTCATGGTCGACTCAATGACCAGTGGTGGATGAAGTAAATGTAATTCGTTACTGTACTTTTTTGCATATCTGTACTTTACTGAAGTATTTAAATTTTAGGAGACCATTACTTTAACTCCACTACATTTCTAAGTTAAATATCTTACTTTTTACTCTACTACATTTTCACAATCTGTCGTTCCTTTTTATTTATAAGTGAATAAAAATGTAACAGGTCAAACGAGCCACCAATCACAGTACAGGGCGCTCGTGCTTTGTTTTTAACTTGCCATGGCGGTATCCACTAAGCGCGAAACAGAGCCGTTAATTATGAGAGTTGCGAACGGTTGCAACCTTTTTTACAGTCTATGGTTGCGACCGCAGTGATCTCGCCGCCGTGCGGTCACGTGATTCGTGTAGCTCTCAATAGTTCCAAACCGCGTTGCCATTCTTGGTCGAGTTATACTACTCATGTAACTATTTAAATAGGGAAAACGTGGAGGTGTTTGGTCGCTTCTCTGGTTGGATCCTAATGAATGAACTGGGCTAAGTTAAGTGCTAAAGTGTCTCGCGCGCCAGAGCGATTAAGTGCACGCACCGAGACGAGAGAGGTATAGTTAAGGCAATAACATAGTTTAATATGAAAAAACAGTGCAGTATCCCTTTAAGTACATTTGAAGGCAAATACTTTTGTACTTTTACTCAAGTGAATGTTTAAAGGCAGCACTTCTACTTTTACTTGCAGAATAGTTTACAGTGAGTATCTTTACTTTAACTCAAGTAAGTTACATGGTATGTGATGTGTACTTCGTCCACCACTGTCAATGACTGCAAGGTGCCCAGGTCCTGTGGCGGCAAAACAAGACCAAATCATCAATCCTCCATCAGTGTGATGGACAGTTGGTAATGTTTTGCGATTTTTCTGAGCATTGCACGGTCTGACCGTGGGATGAATTTACTGAGACGAAGATTGGCAACTGTCTTGAATGATTTCCACTTGTGAATAATCTTCCTCACTGTAGAATGTTGGACATCAAATTGTTTGGAAATGGCTGTATAACCCTTCTCAGATTGATGGCAGCAACAGTTGCTGCTCTAAGATCATTGCTGATGTCTTTCCTCCTTGGCATTGTGTTAACACTCACCTAAAGGCTCCAGACCAGGGGTCATATTAAGCTGCCAAAAAGCTCTTTTTTTTATTTTGTATCATCTGTCCATAGAACGTTTGAAAAGTAACTGACATTACTGGAACTTCAAACGGGACGGGTTCAGTCAAACACTTAAAGGGATACTCCACTTTTTTTGGAAATAGGCTCATTTTACAACTCCCCCAGAGTTAAACTGTTAAGTTTTACCGTTTTTGAATCCATTCAGCCGATCACAGGTTCTGGCAGTACCACTTTTAGCATAGCTTAGCATACATCATTGAAGTGGACAAGACCATTAGCATTTCTATAAAAAAAAATGACCAAAGTGTTTCGATATTTTTCCTATTTAAAACTTGACTCTTCTGTAGTTACATCGTGCACTAAGACCGACGGAAAATGTAAAGTTGCGATTTTCTAGGCTGATATGGCTAGGAACTATACTCTCATTCCTGTGTAATAATCAAGAAACTTCACTGCCGTACCATGAGTGCAGCAGGCGCAGGCACTTAGTCCCGGTCACGTTGGAAGTTACTGAGCTGGGGACTATTTTCAGGCGCTGCGTCATATCATTACGCCTGCTGCACTCATGGTACGGCAGTAAAGTTTCTTGATTATTACGCAGGAATGAGAGTATAGTTCCTAGCCACATCAGCCTAGAAAATCGCAACTTTACATTTTCCGTCGGTCTTAGTGCACGATGTAACTACAGAAGAGTCAAGTTTTAAATAGGAAAATTATCTAAACACTTTGGTCAATTTATTTTGAGAAATGCTAATGGTCTTGTCCACTTCAATGATGTATGCTAAGCTATGCTAAAAGTGGTACCGCCAGAACCGGAGATCGGCTGAATGGATTCAAAAACGGTAAAACTCAACAGTTTACCTCTGGGGGAGTTGTAAAATGAGCCTATTTCCAAAAAAAGTGGAGTATCCCTTTAATATGGGTTTGGTTCATACATACAGGGATACAAAAGTAGGCCTACCCCATGTGTAAAATGAAATACTCTGCTTTATCTTTAATCCTGTGGGCCTAATTTTCTGCCAGAGGTCCTGGACATCTTGTTCAGATACATGGCATCATGGATTCAATCATATACCAACAGATAAAAAATCAAAACCTGACAACCTCTGCTATAGAAATCGTATAATGGTCCATGTTTGGATCTTCCAAGAGGACAGTGATCCAAAAACAAACATCAAAATCAAAACAAAAATGGGTCACTGAGCACAAAACCAAGCATCTACATTGACCATCCCAGTCCCCAGACCTGAACCCAAAATGAGTGCGCTGAACTGAAGAGAAGAAGCGCCAACATCTGGTAATCTGACGGATCTGGAGAGATTGGAGGAATGGTCTCTGATCTCTTGTCAGGTGTTCTCCAAACTCATCAGGCATTATAGGAGAAGACTCAGAGCGGTTATCTTTGAAAAAGGAGGTTGCAAAAAGAATTTAATAAAAGGGGGCAAATAATTGTTCCCAACGTGTTTTGGAGAAAAACAGTTATTTCATAATGTGATTTCCCCCCACTTTCAATTCTTTTACTTCAATGAAAGGTTCAATTTGTGCTATTTTTTTTAATAAAATATCAAAATGATTAACAATGCAGATATATATTTTTACAGCCATCTTTGATCATATTAACCAAGGGGGCAAATAATTCTGACCAGCACTGTATATGCAACTACTTTACTAACTGGCAGCAGCATGAATCACAAATAGCACTCCGCTAAATAATCAGATAATACATGGTTTGGAAGGTGAAGGGCTTTTCCCACCAGTACACAAATCAAACTCTAGAATTGACTTCTTTCTGCTAAATATACGTTATCACAGATACATCTTCCACTATGATACAAAGCTCATTGCTTCGACAAAAATGTTAGTAGACTCATCTGTGTGGCTTTCTTCCAACAAATCTACAGAAATCTCACATACGTTCCTGTGGAAAACAGCGAACATAACATTTAAAATGTTCATGTTGCTAAGACCTAATGATTCTTTAGTGCGTGTCACATTAGGTTTTAACCAAGTAGCCTACCTAAAAGTATACCTTTTGTTTCATAAATATGAATTGTTCTTGCAGTTATAAGCATAAGCATCCCACTTCAACATCAGCTCGGACATCAGAATTGACTGTAAAAAATTTAATAAAAATAATCATTTAATCCAAATGTGTAAATAATCATTACAGACATTGAGATAAACTGTAGTTTAGCTGTTTTTATTCAGTGATTTTAAAAGCATTACATTCTTTAAACATAATATTTGTTTACAAACATCTACTCATCTTAAATCTTAAAATGGCAAATTCACATATATTGTAAATGTTAAACATCCCAAAAACATGTTGTTCAGAACTACTGATGAGCAACATGCTACAAATGCAAAAATCCTGATGAAAACATACAGCTAATATACATTTCAGCAACATACCAACATTGTTTAATTTTAAGATTTCAAATGCCTTTTTAAGACTTTTTTTTCAAAGAGATACATGAAAAACAGAATAATCTAAAAGTAAAACCCCAGAGCAACTTGTCTAGTTAAAATTAAACTCTAGTTGAAATGTAACTGCAACTACATTGCCAATTGGCAGCAGCATGAATCACAATAACTATTACACACTCTAATCATGGTTTGGAAGCTGAAGGGCTTTTCCCACCAGTACACAAATCATACTCTAGAATTTACTTTCTGCCAAATATATCTCTTATCAGACACATCACTATGATACAAAGCTCATTGCTTTAACAAAAATGTTATCAGACTAATCTGTTAGTATGCTTCCTTCCAATAACTACAGAAATTTCATGTCGAAAACAGTGAACATAACATGTCGAGAAAAATAATTCCACACAAATTAATAAAAACACTGAACAAGAGCAAACAATCTGGGGGGAAAAAAGTGCTTACATGACTAAAATGGAGAAAACAAACGCCATCTTTATTAAAAAAAAAGAATACAATTTAGATTACAAACACTACATTATCCTGCTTAAACTAAAGAACATAAGAAATTAAAACATTCAAACGTTTATCATTCCTTGTTTTGATTTGTTACTCGACTTTTGAAGTTGACTTTTTTAAACAAAATGTGTGCAAAATGCCAATACTGGATTTCATCATTATGAACAATTTTTTTTTCTCACCTGTAAATGTTCTACTTTTCATCAATCAAAATTCTAATTCTTATTTCGAAACTCTTAACTCTCAGGTGCTCTTCATTTGGGTGCAACACTCGTTATCAGAAGTGACCGGACACCTAAAAATGAAACTTCCTCCATCCCAGTAAAACCAATGCAATTTATTTACTTCAATAATATTTTTTCTTTTTAATTTTGTATTTTGGGAGAATTTGATGTTACTTATTTAATTAAATAATTATATATTAAATAAAAATAATTAATTAATATTTATGCAATATTTATGGTTAATTTTTGCCATTGAAAATAATACAACATTTTTTTTCTCTAATTATTGCAGTATTTGAGATTAATAGAGACTAAGTCAGATTAGAGCCATCTTTTGTGGAAAATTAAATAAAACATTATTTCATGGGTTCACCACTAGATGCTTATAAAGCTCTCTATGGAGAGACTTGTGAATCCTCTAAAAGTTTTTGGACCAAATGACTTACTTTTAAGATGTGGATTTGAATGTATTTTTTAGAAATTCTCAAATAATACTTTTTGCCAAGGTTTATAAAAAATGTTTAAATAAATTTGATGTGAAGTGTACACATTCTTGCATTATTACTACAGTCAAACCTGAATACAGAGAAAGCATTTTGTTGCAGGTAACAATACAATTCAATACAAAAACAGTAATGAACAGTAATGCTTTATCACAGCTTATTATTATTTATAATATGAATTATTATTTTAATATTTTTCATAATAATTATATCAATATATATATATATATATAAATTATAATTATGTTATGTTTTTCACTATTGATGTTTTAGAGGGTCACCCATTCATTGCTGAGCACTTTTTTTTCTGCATCGTGGCCGATTTGTAGAGAATTTTTGTGTTTTTGTCAATTTCCCATTCATTTCCTATGGTCGGTCATTTTTGACCGAAGAGCGAAAGTGACTAATTTTTGTACGACCACTTAGCCTGCTTGAATCATGCCTTCAATTTTTTTGTTGTGTTCACATACCTAATGCCATAAAAGTCACCAAGTTTCGTAACATTCCGATGAAGCTGTGATTTTTTAAAATTCAAAACAGAACGTTTTTTGGTCAGAAGAGCACCTGACGCACTGAATTGCCTCAGTCAGATTAAGACAGATACTGGGTTATCCACTGGAGATGGGTCCTGGGTTGGTAGGGCTTCAGCAGGTCCAGGTATGGTGGAGGCTGATGAATAGCTATGCATGGATTGGTAATCTGACGACAGGTCTGTTGGGTTTGAGAGGATGCTTTCACTGTCACTGCTGGACTGGGACACCATTCCGTACTCGCGCACAGGACAGGCACGCTCTGTGAAATTGGGTTTGAAGCCGTTCTCCAGATCTTTAGGCATGGACAGCCATTTCTGTGTGAAAAAAAAAGATGATATATTCTCACATTCCCCTCTATGAATTAAAAAAACTAATTCAGGGTACATGACTAAAAAAACAAAAAACTGCTTACCTCTATATTGCCATCATAATTGTCAAAAAGGGATGCAAGGTATTGGCTTACATTTCGTCCTGCATTTGGTACCACTGGTATTAAAATTATTCTTAATCTAAGGAACATTAAACATTAGATTAGAGTAAATAAAATACTTATGGACTTTTATTGTGGAAAATTATTAAACATTAAACTAAAATGTTTAAAATGAATGTAAATTAGTTAATAGACAAAAAAATGTATTCAAACCTCTCACTTTGGACCAGCAAGCAGGCGAGTATGACGAGTATTATTGCGCCTCCCACTGTATACAGCACCAGTGTCGTCACAGACATGGGAGCCAGACTCTCTGGGAAAAGAGTTGGCATTACTTTTCATTATTGTTTTCAACTAGCATATTTCCTAAATCTCTGCAAACATTTTATGATACGTTTACGCTTTAGGAAGGTAAAAATGCACACTAAATCCACACTATCTCTAATGCCTTTCCCATCAATCATCATGTTCAGGGTTCTAAATTAACTTTTTTGATCACCAGCCAATGTGGCTGGTAACTTTCTAAAGTTACCAGCCATTTAGAATTTCCACTAGCCAAATTTTTTCCGGTGAAAATAAGAGAAATTATGAGTGCCACTGAATGCATTTGATAATTTTATCAACATTGTTGGCATGAAAAACACATATAAAGTACAATACAACACAGAAAGTGCAAACATTTCATTTCAAGTTTGGGATCTATCTCTATTAGGGATGTGCACGAATATTCGAATTTTCGCTCTGTAATTATTATTAAAAAAATAAAATACTAATACTAATACTTTTTTTCTTCAATTTTTTTCGCAGTTATAATTAAATGCACTGGGTGGAGCATTTAACAAGTGGATTGTGTTTTTGATCACATAATGTCGTTGTCTGCCTCGCGAAGTTTGGAATTACTTAGATGAAAATGATAGCCTATTACAAAATGGAATTACGTTTAATCAATTATTAATTAGTATTATAATCATAATATCACCACCACAATGAGAAATCACATGAAATCCAAAGAAACAGCAGTCGACTGAGGAAGCAGCTGTCCATCACTGCATTAACGACTGCAGGTCAGCAGCTGTACCCCGATATCTTCTGGTAGCAAAATGATTTTGACATATGCTTCCTTTAAGTTTCGTTGAGGGAGACAGGTTTAAGAACAGAAAACGCAAAGTGCTGTTACTTCACTTTGCACACACACAGGCGCGCGCGTCTCTGCCACGCCTGTGTGTCAGCGCAGCGCGTTTTCTCACTCGAGCATGTGGATATTATTGTTTTTCTCAACATGAACGTGAAACAATATAAACACGATAATCATATGCTGACTCGAGTATGTAGGCTACGTTCTGTACGATAACTGCGCAGTCTGCTTCTTTTTTTTTTTTGCGTTTTTTCCCCGTTTGCGCTGCCTGAGCTTAAATGCTTTTGTTGTTTATATATTTTGTTTACACATATTGTTTAATGTTTTCAACTAAAAGAAAACCTTAAGATATATAGTAAGCTTGTTGTGTATAGGCTATAATTGCCTAATGTATAAGCTTGTAAGAAATAATGACAAAAACCTTAAACTTAAAAAAAAATATAGCTGCGAGCAGCGATTACGGGCCCAAGCCGGTGGCACCGCAACCCCGGTGCCTTTAGTTACCTAAAGGCACCGGGGTGGCGGTGCCGCCGGCTTTGGCCCTTCATCGCTGCTCGCAGCTATATTTATATATATATATATATATATATATATATATATATATATATATATATATATAAAAAGCCGGTGGCACCGCCACCCTGGTGCCTTTAGGGTTATTGTGCACGACGTGACACAAAATATCTGCTCGCTATCTGCCGAACGGCTCTGGTAGTTCCGCTTCAGCACTGATGATGTTGTAGAAATAGTGCGCTCTGGTTGGTCTGGATTATTCTGGATTTTTTATTTTATACAGAAATAAGTTATTTATAATTCAGATGAGAATAAAGTTAGTGTTGATTAAAATGAAGGAAAACAAATATATTGATCTGAAATATAGCACATTAATTTTAAATGTATTTAGGTTCAATTACCAAACATACAATCTTAATTTAATTTAAAGCAAACAATACATTTAAAATATATGGGTTGTATGCACTTTTTTTTATATAAAAAAAAGATATATATCCAAAAAGACAAGGCCTTAAAGGGTTAAACTCTTGTCACTGTAACAGACGCAATCTCTCTCTCTCTCTCTCTCTCTCTCTCTCTCTCTCTCTCTCTCTCTCTCTCTCTCTCTCTCTCTCTCTCTCTCTCTCTCTCTCTCTCTCTCTCTCACACACACACACACACACACACACACACACGTCAAGTCACTTACATTTTAGATGCAATATTGAATAAGCAGAAAAATCGGATTTTCTGCTCTGAAAATATAAATAAGCATAAAAATTGAATAAGCACTTTGAATATTCTAAACAGAATAAGCACTAGTCGCTAATGAATAAGTACTAGTACTTAATGGAATAGATACTAGTATCTAAAAAATAAGTACTAGTAGCATGAAAATAGAGACTAGTAGGTTAAAATGATTAAATGTTAAAACGGCTTGCCATATTGGCTCAGAGAGAGAGAGAGAGAGAGAGAAAATGACCTTTTAGATACTAGTACCTATTAATAGATACTAGTATTTATTCAATAAATACTAGTACTAAGTCATTAGATACTAGTACATATTAAATAGATACCAGTACTTATTCATTAGCTACTAATACGTATTCAAAAGAATATCTAAAGAATAAGCACTAGTATCTAAAGAATAGGCACTAGTACTAAAGAATAAGCACTAGTCCCAAATGAATAAGTACTAGTACTTAATGGAATAGATACTAGTATCTAAAAAATAAGTACTAGTAGCATGAAAATAGAGACTAGTAGGTTAAAATGATTAAATGTTAAAGCGGCTTGCCATATTGGCTCAGAGAGAGAGAGAGAAAATGACCATATTCAAACCACAATATCTGACTTTCTGAGGGTCGGAGCTAATTACTTTAAATTAGAAAGTTGTTCGGCTTGAGGAGAAGAATATACACGCTGAGTTTTGTAACTGTAGGTAAAACTAACTAAGTTATAACACACTTTATATGTCCTTTTTTAGTCATGAAAATTAATTTCCTCTCCGTGGCCAAACCGTTCGAGATATCAAAAATCTGTCCACAATTTAGCATCCTTAATGTCTTGACTTCATGCACACCGAGTTTGGCAATGATTGAATGAATTGCCTAGGAGTAGTACTTCAAATTCCACAGCAAGCGTTTTCCAAACAACCCATAATAGCCGATTTCCTGTTGGGCTGGCGTAAAACTTGACCAGGGGAAAGATGTTCGGCCCGATGAGATCTATATGTGTACTAAGTTTCATATTAATTCATGCAAGCGTGTTGGATATATGGACCAAATTGTTGGACCCCGTTCAAGGGGGCGCTGTTGAGCCCCCCTGCCACGCCCGGGTACCAGCTTCAGCCCGGCCCTGATGGCTGTGGGCTCTGACCTGTGTGCAAAGTTTCAATAGTTTTTGAGCACGTTAAGAGCCCCAAAAGCCCCTGAAACCTTGAACTCCATTAAAAGCAATAGACAAATCCCTCACACACAGAGACGAAGAGAGAGGGAGAGAAAATTCTCAGGGTTGTATGCTATTTTTTTATATATAAAAAGATATATATCCAAAAAGACAAGGCCTAAACTTTAACAAGGGTTAAACAATCACTGTAACAGACACAATCACACACACACACACACACACACACACACACACACACACACACACACACACGTCAAATCACTTACATTTTAGATGCAATATTGACTTTTTTTCTGTTTCAGCAGCGAAAATAGTTAAACAAAGATCACAGCAGAACCATCGAGCATCTCACAGCAACGCGTTCTCATTACTGAATGATTCAGCATTTTGAACGAATCGGTTGACTCAAAGATTCAACGACCAATCCATAATCTGTTTCATTCATGAATGACTCAGCCGTTCGAACGAATCGTTTGAACGAATGAATCAATGACTCGCTCATTAAGACGGTCGCCTGGCGACACCTAATGACGGTTTAGTGATATGTTTAAAAGTATCATTCTTTCCAACGATTGTTAATTAACTCATATTTGAAACATAAGCTATATATATATATATATATATATATATATATATATATATATATATATATATATATATATATGTATATATATATATATATACACACATATGTATACACAAAAATAAAATAAAAACACATTTGAAGCGTGTTTGCTTACTAAATTGTGAGCTGAACGAAAGTTGCAGAAAAGATCAGCAACAGGAGTCAAAATTCATTAATCACGAGAGTGAAGAGCTGACTGAAAAAAATGATGATGGAATATTTTGTGTAAAAGCGCCTATTTAAGCGAATCTGTCATTTACTCATTTGTTGTTGTGTATTACCTGAAAACCGGAAACAATCGGCCCCCGATATGGTGCTAATTTTAAAGTGACACTAAAAAGTATGCGGCTGCACTGGCATTCATAACGGTGCGCGTCCATGGCGACGAGCAAGCAGAACAGAGCGAACGTTTTTTCATTTCCACTTCCATAGAAATTCATTCGAGCGCACTGCGAGCGCCACCACTATGTCCGTGCGGATGTCCTTACTTTACTTTCACTTTTATATTAGCGATTTAAAAGGCCTCGCTGGTGTCTAACGTCGATTAACCGGTGGGAAAAGATCCTCACAGCCACATACCTAATATATTTATATTTAATTACAATAGCCATACCTGATAAAAAAGTTTTATGTACTGAGTTGATATCATTTTGGACACAAGAGGGCAGTATAGCCCTTTGTATTACTTGATGTATTTATTTTTTAACTGAATAGCACATTCTGGCTGTTTTTAAACTTGTACATTATTCTTAAATTGAAAACAAGAATAAAATGGGGTTAGTTCTGATATTTGTGTAATTTTATCTAGAAATAAATGGTGTATAATTAATTTTTTAGAAGATATGAGGCTTTTAGTGTTTACTTTTTTGACATGACTTTAATCCCTCGCCATAGCAAAACAATTTGAGATAGCCATTCACAATTTAGCTTCTTTAATGTATTTTCATCATGTTGAAAAAGTTTGGTGGGAATTGAATAAACCACTTAAGAGGAGTGGGTAAAAAATCAGAGGCTTTTTTAGCCAAAAATCCACATTCAGACAAAAATATCTGACTTTCTGTTGATCCGAGCTAATTACGGTAAATTAGAAAGTTGTCCGGCTCGAAGAGTACAATATACATATCGAGTTTTATTACTGTAGATAAAACTAACCCCCCCCCTTTTGTCAAAAGCATTTAGGAAGTGACACACTTCCTGCTGCCATTTGGTGGCGCTATAACTTTGACTCACAATAGTCACATCCATGTGATCGGGCTCTTACAACGAACACACTGTTGAAGTTTCATCAAGATCAGTTAATGTATGCAGTAGTTATGACACACTTCCTGTTTCACGTTTCTCGCCATAATTTTGTTTCCTCGCCACGGCCAAACCGTTCGAGATATCAAAAATCCCCTCGCAAACTTTCATCCTCAATGTCTTGACTTCATGCTGACCGAGTTTCGTGCCGTTTGTTTGAATTCTCTAGGAGGAGTATTTCACATTCCATTGCGTGTGTTTTACCAACAACCCTAAATAGCCGACTTCCTGTTGGGCTGGGGTAAAAAGTAAGAGTGTGAAGTATATATGAAACGAGGAGATCTACATGTGTACCGAGTTTCATATTATTACATGCAAGCGTGTTTGATTTATGGACCATGTTTTCGGACCCCGTTCCAGGGGGCGCTGTCGAGCCCCCCTGCCACGCCCGGGTACCATCTTCAGCCCGGCCCTGATGGCCGCGGGTTCTGACATGTGTGCAAAGTTTCAGGAGTTTTTGAGCATGTTAAGGCCTCCAAAAGTGTCCAAAAGGTAGCAGAAAAATAATAATAATAATAATAATAATAATAATAATAATAATAATAATAATAATAAATAATCCTAAGGAAAACAATAGGCCCTTTGGGCTTGGGCCCTAATAATGTAGGCTATCTCTCGTTAAACGACATTTAAATTTAAACCCAGAAGTCTGTCCCAACCACCGCCGCATTTAGTTTAATCTTAACTTTTTACTTTAGCTACTTTACTAGCTCCCTCCTCTTTCAGTCTGCTCCCTGCTCTGGCTCGTTCTTCATCTTCCTTGTGTTTTCTGGTGGATGGACGCGTACGCTCCGTTTGTTTCCATGATCATTTCTCGCGCTGGTTTCACTGCAAACTGCGCGCAGCCAATGGGCGTATGAAACGTCATCACGTAGCATTACGGCACAGTGTTTATGGGAAATGTAGGAAGTACTGCCAGGGGGATAAATGACCGAGAACAGAACCTTATGCATCACCGGCCAAACTGGCTAGTAAGTTTTTATTAACACCTGCCAAAATGAATTTTAACCCGCATTTGGCGGGTTGGCGGGTGTTAATTTAGAACCCTGATCATGTTCATGAATTCAAATGCCCTGAAATCGTGAGATGTTAATTTAATTATATATTAAATATAATTTGGAAGTAAAACAAAGTGCTGCACATTTTATTGTTGCTGAGATGGGTATGTGTATTTTGTAAAACGTTTGCAACCGCTTTTTATCACATTATAACAAGCTTTTGTAAGCCGTTCCTACAATGTACTAAATTGTCATTTGTCACATAGAGACTACTGAACAGACATTTAGAACTTTACTTTAAAGCACTGAACATTAAAATGAGGAAATAAAGCTGTAAATAAAGGGTGTGTTCACACTTGTAGTTCGGTTCACTTGGTTTGTTTTGTCAGGACCAAAAAAACCCATGTAGTCCTGGTTAGCTTAGCGTTCCCATTGGCATTTTTAACACCGAACTTAAAGATACCGAACCTAAAGGCATAGGGTCTGATTGGTCGGCTTTTATGACGTATATTTCTAGACAGAACTTGCAGAACATCCAAAACAATACTGTGTGAAAATTCAAGGAGTTATGTGAGGAAAGGTTATCTGGAGAGCTTAGAGATATGGATATTAATAGACAGTATAGTAGCTTCCAGGAAAGAAGGGTGGCGAATGAAACTCTTCCTAAGAGTTCTGGAAAAAGGAGAAGGAAAGCGGTTCCATGGTGGACAGAGGAATGCAGAGAATATGTAAGAGGTAGGAATAGGGCCTTCAGGTAATTGAGACGGACTCATAATTATGAGCATGTGTTACAATATAAGAGAACTCAAGCATTAGTAAAAAAAAGACAATACGCAAGGTTGAGAGTAATTATTGGAGTGAGTTATGCAGCTCAATAGTTAGAATAACACCCGTGGGAGAAGTATGGGGGATGATAAGTTAGATGGGTGGCGTAAGGAGGGAATGGGACTACCCTGTACTGGTCAATGGGAAGAAGGCAGTGACAGACAAGGAGAAAGCAGAGATGATGGCAAAAGCTTTTGTAGCATTAAGTGTACCTTTTTCTAAGGCAGAGATGGAGAGAGTGATTACCAGTGCAGGGATGGCATCACCAGGAGGAGATTTGTTATCATGTTGTCTTTTATGGGTGAGATAGCATTGGGAAGACTGCTTAGACTATACTGTCGCATCTTGTGACATCATGTCATGTGTTTGGTTTGTTTACATGTCTTTGGTCCGTGTATATAGCGTTCATATTTCATTACAACCGTACCAGAGTTAGTTTGGAAGCAGGCTCTGCTTGTTTTGTTTCACAACAGGGTTCGCACAAGCGTTCCCACTCATTCAAATTAACTGCACACACCAGGGTTCATTTTAATCCAACCAAACATGCCAAGTGTGAACGTGCCCCATCAGGTAGTCAAGTTCTTGATGCCCATTTGAACACTTTCTTGGGCCAAACACAGGAAATACGTCATGCAAGTAGACAAGTTGTTGAGTGGAATGACTGCAAGTGTGGGTATTGGTACTCTCTGCCATAAGGTGGAAACGGTGAGAGACTCCGTCTTTAATGAATAAACCCTGAAATCTCATCCACATGTATATCAATCATCCGAAGTGAAGAAAGTGATTGTGGAAGGATTTTATGACAAATACCTCACGTTCTAACATGTAAATCCATAAAAAGCATCCAATCCGATAAAGCATAACAGAAGATACGAAAATTACAAGATACTTGTGCGCTGCAGTGCGTTGCGATTGTGCGAAAGCAGAGAGAACTGTTTTGATTGGCTGCTATTATGAAAAATTGATCTGTCGTGTCACGCCCACTGATCTATGTAAAGAAGAACATATATGTAGGTAGGCATATATAGATCAGTGAGATAAGATGTGATAAGTTCGTGCTGCGTCGGTACCTGTGTCGTTGGTCTTGTACACAGACTCACTCCAGTCGCTCCAAAACTTGGACTCTCCGCAGGATGATGAGATTCGAGCCCTGACCTGGAACTCATACCGTTTTTTGGAGGGAAAAGACAAAACGAAGGAACTCCTGCTGCCCGGAGAGGTGTTCTGGAGAGAGAGAGAGCTGTTAACTGTGCCGCGTTTTGTGTCTGGTTATCAGACGACCACAAGGTGAAAAGGTGAATATTTTATTTTTAGTCATTTTATTTGTTTATTTAATAGTTGCATAAAGGCAATATCAAATCCCAATCTTGCTGTTTGTCTGAATATCTGCACGAGCTTCTCATAATAAATTAAGATGCTATGAAAGGCTGTATTAAATAAATATAAAATGTGCACATGCTTCAAATGCAGCTCATCCAATCAGAATTTATTTTTTATAATACTAATTTTATACCTTCCAGTTGTTGTCTGTCCTGTGACGAACTTCACTCTCAATACAGCTGTCATCATTGGTGACATTCCAGTACAGCCACAGTTCAGTATCTTTTCTCTCCACCAGAGACAGGTTGAACGGAGGGTTAAGCTTCACTGATTAGCAACACAGTATAACATATCAATCCATCAACCAGTTATTTCCATACAGTTGTTGTAAAGTTGTAAGAAATATGAATAACTTTTCATACCATATTCTTTTAGAGAATGGCTCTGCTCTGTCACCAAACTGCCGTTGTCACTGTACAGCCATGTGTTCAACGAATTAAACCTTTGTGTTTTTTTGTAGGGAAACGCGCAGCCCATATTAACACTGTTAATCTTGTGATATGTAGAACAATCCAGAATTTTGTGATGTGAAAAGCTAAGAGAAATCAAAAGAAAATTGTTTGTCTTGATATTTTCATCCAAAATTATAGGTTTTTCTTTTTTGTTCAACATACGCACCTGCTCTTGAAACTGTAATTGTACTTGAGCCCAAGCTCACTCCATGTGCAGTTAACATAGTCCAGATTTATGATAAGGCAGTTTATTTCTGGGTAAAGATGAGAGAAACAGTATAGTAAACACACCTTGGGTATACTTTGTAGAACCTTAATTTATTTTCAAACTCCTGAGGTAAAAAAAAAAAGAAAAAAGAAAAAAAGTACAGCTTGTAATGCATATTGTTTGTCAGTAGAGGATGCTCAGCATCAGGGGTCTCATTTCTAAAACTGTGTGTAGGATCCTTACTTAAAGTGTATGCGCCCGAAAGCCAAAAATGGTGTACACCAAAAAATATTCATGCTTTGTCCAAATACCCACACTTGCGGTTGCGGCCTTTGCACTTGACCACTTGTCTACTTGCATGACCCAAGTGTTCAAGTAGGCTTAAAGACTGCAAGTGTGTGTAGAACTTTTGATTACTCGATGGCACACTTATTGTCTTGAAAAAAATGCAAGTGTTTACAGAGCTTTTATTTATTATATTTTTAATACTTTGCATTTCAGTCTGTTCAGTAGTCGCTATGTAACTAACAGAAGACACATTTAAAATTGTGGTGCTTCTAATTTGTGATAAAAACAGTTGCAAATGTTATACAAAATTGGCATACATACCATAGGCCTACTCATCTTTGCATCAACGAAATGTACAACGCTTAATGTTTTTACTACCAAATTATATGTATCTAATTAATTTAACTTAGGCTACAGTGGAATGTTTTCCTCGACATCTCGCGATTTCGGGGCACATGAGTTTCCGGACATAATGCATGATGGGATACGCAATTAGCCTCGAATACCGCTCCAAAGTGTAGTGTGCAATACTGTGCATTAAGGGCACTACACTGCACTTTGGCATTTTTAAAACATGGGGCAGTCTTGCGCACTAACTTCCTGTCTCGTAGACGCGCTCTCAAGTGGCCAAGACCGCAAGTGTGGGTATTTGGTATTTGGACAATCCGACTTATAAAACCGTGCGTACGCCAGAACCTGCGCAAAATTCCTTTTATAAATTCCAGTCAGCGGAAGATTGTGCGCACATGCGTCTCTTCCCCGAAATAACTATGGAGCTCACAACGCCTAGTTTTACTCATAGACTGTAAAAAAAAAAAAAAAAAAGTTTTACTCTGCATATCCTCATCTGCATATAATTTACATAATGCATATTCATTCACGTGATACCATGTTTAACGGTACAAGACATAAGGAAAATATGAGATGTGCCGCCACATTACATTGCTAAAAACCATTTTATAGGCTATCATTGCCTTGTTTTTGAATAAATAAATAAAATAGTATAAAATATATATAAACTAATTTCAGAGAAAGTTTTTCTCAATCTTTTCCACAGGCCAAATAGTATTTTTAATTGATTTATATTTTTAATTGAAACAGATAGGCCTTAATTGTGTATTATTTGCGCGAAAAAAAAAAATTCTCAAACAATCTTCTATTATCATGGTAAGCAATCCTCTCTATAGTTAAAACATTAAAACACAGCATGCCACAGACTTCAAAAAGTTCAAAAGCAGTGCATTGCATCCACTACAAATATTTCTATTTATTAGAATATAAAAATGTTGTAACTTCTCAGTAATGATTTAATGTTATTTAAGTGCTTAACTCCATTAATGAGATGGCATATTTTATCTAAATGTGTATATCAGATATAAAACCTAGTTTAAATCCTTATTTTATTTATTTAAACTGTTATTGTGAACATGCACCGTATTTATGATTAGGACTCATAATGAAGATTTACGTTTTTTCCTTCATCTGCCGTTAGATACTAAACGGCCCAACACACTCTGTAGCGCGGACATTTAAAACAGGATGGATGTTTTCTTCAAGTAGATTAGGTGAGTGAAATTATATTTGTATTATCTTGCGGTATATATGTGCAGTGGCGGATTAAGACTCACTGACACATTTACTATGCAAGGATTGTCACGGAGAGTAACACATACCACACCCCAGTTCTAAGCTACAATTTTATTTTATTTTTTGTTTTAATTTTATGTTTATGTTTGGTTTATGTTTCAAAAAACGAATGTCTTATCATTAAGGGAATTCAAGGAAAAACAAGTTTTGACTGTAGTTAAATATTGTCAATGTTTGCCTTGTTGTTCTGTAAAATTCATATTGTGAAAAGACAATAAAATATAAATGAAAAAAAAAAAAAGACTCACTGACACCAAGAGTGACCACCCCACCCCCAATAATAATACATTCAGTTACTATTACTATTATTACAACTTTTATTTCCAACCAAAATCCAACGTCTGTCCGACGTCGGGTTCTGACGCCAACCTAACTTTCATTTCCAACCTGAACGCAACATCAGACTGACGTCAACATCCGACATCGGACAGAGGTTGGATTTTGGTTGGAAATGAAAGTTGTAATAATAATAATAACTGCATGTATTATCTGACGTCAACCCAACTTTCCAACCAAAATCCACTTTCCGACGTTGGATGTTGACGTCAGTCTGAAGTTGGATGTTGACGTCAACCCAACTTTCGGCACTGACACCTAGAGTGCTAGCCTGGTTAAAACCAGACCATTCTCAGTTGTAACTGAGTTATGGACTGGCAAAGTGTCATAGACAAATCATTTCCAGAGGGGCGTCACCAACGGACGTCGCGGATAGACCTAAAACCAATAAGAGCGATAAAGGAGATGACGTATGCAGAGCGGCGGAGAATCTCCGAGTGTTGTCCTTTGCTCGGTTTTTAACAAAAAGGAAACGTTCAAATCGCTTAAAACAGACGCGATAGCTGATTCGAATGAGTGATGTTCGACGGCGGCATCCATCTTTGTAATGTAGGCTACAAAATCTGCTTCGAAATCCCAGCGCTGTCGTCATCGTGTAAAGCCCGCCCCAACGTTTCTGATTGGTGCCGCGATTTCAACGGATTGGAAATGGGCTTGAATGAGCTCTTTGCCAGATTAACTTTCAGAGCAAATCTAAATTTGCCGGAAGTTGTCTGGGTTTTCCCAGGCTACTAGAGTGCCGCCATTGGCGTTGAAATGAAATGCGTGAAGTAGTGTGAATCAGGCGGTAGATCCCGCGTCCACAAAAAAAAAAAAAACTTTCAACAAAACATTCAGGGAATTTAGAACGTTTTGATGAAAGGGTATATAGGCCTAGGCTAGAAAAACGTTTGAGAATGATTCCCCCCCCCCCCTGGACGTGGTTCCCCTGGGCACTTGCCCAGTTGCCCATATGGTTAATCCGTATATGTTTAATTTTCTTTAAATTTTCTATCTAAAAGTGACCAACAAGTAATTTAACTCCAGCTCCGTTTGTAAGCATGGGTCAGAGTTTGCGTGCAGGTGCGCAAATTTTCCCGTGAAGTTTGTGTTTTATAAATCCCAACTTATGCGTCGGAAGTGGCATACGCCTCTTTCAGGGCCTGTTTTGTGCAACGGTTATAAATGAGGCCCCAGAGGACCAGACAGGACACGTAGCCTAAACATACAGGAAATATGTTTTTTTTTAGTCAAAAACACTATTTTATACAATCTTACTGATTAAAATTAATAGTAAAATCATATGTCTTGCATAAGAATTCTTAGAATATTTTAATTCAGTCATTTGTTTAAAAAACTGAACAGAAAAGGTTGTAAGCTCATGTTGCGTGTACACATCATGGCAGATCAGACATTTTGGAAAGCAATCGTCTGCCCATTTTGTCAACTTCTCAGCGAAAGCTTGCTGAAGAATTTCACAATTTCCTAAGTAGTACTGAATGGTCACCTCTTCTGATGAAATAATCTCTGTGGCCAGACTTTTTAGGCCCTTTATATGTTAACATATTATACTTTAACATCTTAATTGTTTTACAACCACACTACTTCCGTAGTTTTAAAATGCATATAAAACCACAAAATGGGGAGGAAATTAATAAAAAGACGACGCACCCTACCCTGAAATTACTTTTGTAAACCTTGTGTTTTATATACTTTGTGTTATATGTTTTGTAAAGGCAACATAATGTAAAATATAATCAATGAAGAAAAAACAATATTTTATTTTCAAAATAGCAGTTATACCATACTCACTCGGTTCCGATGATGCTGAAAATGCAAATGAAGGAATATTCCAAAGGAAAAGACTGACTAATAATATCATCTTGGACAGGTTTACATAACTCACTTGTTTTGTGTCTGTTTCTATCTTCCCTGTTCTGCTCTAAACGTATCCGCTCTTTGTGGGCTGACATATGTATTTCCTGTTCATCACCAGAAACCACTTTTTTGCTCAATGCCTGTTATGAAAAGATCTGAATGCTAAATTTGTGTATAAAAGAAAATAGGAATTAGATTTTAACTTATTTTATTTTTTATTACAGTTCACTTTTACATAAAAACACACTGTTATCAAAAACCTAAAGCAATACTAAAATGTATAAGGAATAAATATATATTCTGATCTTTAGTTACATGTAGACATTATATATAACAATCAAGTACAACAAAATAAATGTTTCACATCACAATTCACATTGTAAACAAACTTTGCACTTCCGTGCTATCATACAATTGGCTACAATATCTTTATTTCAGTGGGGAAATTTACTGTACTGAAGAAGATAAACCATTATATGTTTGCATCATATGTAAGAGATGCTATGATACATTTTGATTGTTTTAGTGTGCATATTTTTATATTTATATGGTACATCAATATCAAGTAACTTGCATACAAGATCTATGTGCCAAAAAATTGGGGATTTATAAATGTAAATTTACTGATTTAGAAATCTAATTCTCATCATGGCAACCTTCCCACACAAATACTGACTTTAAACCAGCACCCAATTCAGAGGTTGCGTTAACAAAAAAAATTCCACCATTTACAGATTTGTACAAGATTCTGAGTGCTTTCTGTCATTTTGCTCTACTACATGGAATTAGACTAAAAGTTGTTGCGAAATCAATCTTGAGTCAACAAGATTGTATAGAAGTACCACCATGTTACAGTTCACTGATGGATAAAAATAGAACATGACAGAAAATGTACATTATTTATATAATTTACCATTGACATAAATCAAAATGACACGTGCCTGAGCCCTTAAAGCTGCAGTCTGCAGTTTTTCCTCTTTGTCGCCATCTCTGTTCGAAATCTGCAATTGCAGTCATTCGCGGAATTATCAACTTTACGTGAGTTGTACCTCGGCACGGCACAGTGCCGTTTTGAGGAGAATGTGCAGTTGTCAGTCACCGCGCGGTGTGGATACTCTCATTCGGAATCACAGATTCTACTTTTTGGAAGTATGACCAACATAAGAATTTTCACCCTAAAATGTCATCTGAACATGTAAGTAACATCCACTTTTGTTCTTCTGACCAACTAACTGAAAAAAGCATTGCAGTAAATCGCACTGATTAAATCTAACGATCGATTATCATATCACGTCAAACCGTGCAAATTATACTTTGTTCTAAAATTGTTAATGTTAACAACACCAGCATTGCGTGACTACATTTAATGCCCTTCAGATATTTATACTTGTTTTCGCATGGGCCCGGTTGCAGTCTCTTTTTCCAAACTCAGTCCAAAGTCTTTTGCATTTTACAGCGGGTGAATCTCTAGTTGTCACTGGTGATTGTCGTTTGAACCTTTCTGGATCCGCCATCAAATTAATACGTTTAATTGTATCAAGTGCTGTGAGAAAAGGCTATAAATCTCCACCTCCAGCATCCTCACACGCAATATAGCTTATACTAGCCGAGACTCCTTCTTAATGTGTACAGATGTGACGTAATGACGCAAAGACATGCTCGAATCTCCCGTGGAAATCCACCAGTACCACTGGAATTAAAAACAGTATTACAAGCTTACCGTTTTGAATCGAGCTACGGCAAGCAGATAGTTTTAAACACTGGCTGGTTATGTACTTGCTCAAATTTTTTTGGGGATAATTTTTAACCCAAAAAAGTTACGGACTGGAGCTTTAATCAAATGACAGGACTGTCAACTCTCAACTGGGGTGTTTCAGATAGCACTTTTCTCTATCAACCACCATATCACAATATCAAATGACCCATGCACTAGAGCTTTACATGACAAAAGAGAGCTCTAAGGGCAGTGTAGTGTTACTGAAGGAGAGGCTGGACGCTTCCTGTGCCATCTGCAGCAGGGATTGTAAAATATCTGAATACTCTTCACCATCATAGCGCTCCTGCTCCGAGTCTGCATTTTCTTGCAGGCTTCTCTCTTGTATAACTGCACAAAAACAATATATTTAACGGAAACGTGAAAAAAAAATTGTGTAAGTTCTGAGTTCATGTGGTTTTGTGCAGGGAATTCATGTGTGGGTCTAGGACGGTGTGAGAGGGAAGCGTGGGAGTATATGTGTACCTGTGTCGATGTGAGGTAGCATGTCAGCTTCATTCTGGCCTCTCTGTTTGATCTTGGTTTCTGTGATAGAGTCTTTAACAGCAGAGACATGGCAGCCAGGACTAAGGATCTAACATGAACAAGAAACCAAACACATCAGATATGTTAACTACGTATAACTCAAGCACTGTGCTCTTGTAATAACCTATGTGTTGTGTGATGTTGCAAGGCAGACCTTGGTGAAATTGTCCAGGTCTGGTGAAGGTGAAGAGCAGGAGCGGATCGCTGCTAAACTGGAGTCAATAAGCGCCAGTGGATCAGACATATCAATTCTGCTCTCAAGAGAAGAGGGGGAGTGAAATATTAGAGCTGAACATTTAATCGAATTAAAGCCAACATGATGTGGCTTGGTGCGATTATCAAATCGCAAAGGCTGCGATTTATTTAAAATAAATATATTCGCTGCATTTCACCAGAAGCATTTATAAACCTGTTGCCAGCAAAAGACAAGCTTTAACCCTGCAGTTTCCTGTCAAAATAAAAGCTCAGCGGTTTAACGTTTGAAAATAGATTAAGACACAAATATTAGTATTATAATTTTACAGTTGTACTTATTTTATTATACTATTTTTCTTAAATCCTATTTTTTAGAGTGAAATAATCTAGTAATATTTCTTATTTTGTTTAAAGGGACATTTCACCCATTTGCATTAAGCTTTGTATCGTTAGAAACCCAGTCATATTTTTGAATGGTCGTGCATTATTCCCTCATTTTTCCCTGAGACGGGAGAAATAAGGATTTCAGTGTTGCAGTTCCTGCTTATAATGATGTAAAAATCGTCATTTTGCATCATTGTAAGCAGGAAGTCCCATATCTTGGTAGAGGGGCTGAGACTACAAACACTCGTTCCTTATTTTTCCAGGGGGTGGGATCCACTCACGCTACAGACCTATTACAGATCAGTGGGTGGGACTTCACTTTCTGAAACTAAAAGCAATATCCTCCATCTTGTTTGGAAGCTAAGCTAACAGGCGCTGTGGAGCCAGATGTAAAGTTATGACAATGGCGAAATGTACTCAATATGATATGGAAGAGGAGGATTTCGAAAGTCTGATGCTCGAATCAGATGTTCGTGGCTACTTTTACAAGCCGCAATATAGAGAAAAGCAGCTGAGGCTGATGGAGGAACAGGAGGCGGCTGCCTGTCGCGGATGAGGAGCCCGGACTGGCTCAAGCTGGGTGGACTGGTGGTGTCTGTGCTCTCACTGTGAGCCTACGGACACAGAGATAGAGTCCGTCTGCTGCAAAGAATTTCAATGATGCCAATTTCTCCTAGACAAAATCTCTGAATCAGACGAGGACACGGACGTTTGTGTTGTGAACCATCCTAGTTTCGCACCGCATATGTTTTGACTGAACATCCTGGTATCATGCAATAATTCACCATTTCGAAAGAAATACAAATGAGGAGTAATTTACTAATGAGTTCATCAACTAACTAGAAATTTTGTGTGAAATGAATTTCAAGCTCTGGTGGTAGCTAGCCTTGTAAGACGGAAGAGTGATTTCTCTGATAGGCGGATACCTCATAGGCGCTTTTCTGGATTAGTGGGAGTGGCTTGCGGAGCTGTGCAATGTGGTGCATTGTGGGAGTTGTTGTCTTTCATACAAATGGGCCCTAAAGTTACTTTATGTCTTTTCTCGGTCAAGAATTTATTAAACATTTCGACTACATATATGGCCCACTTTCAATAAAGATTAATGTTCCCACGGGTGAAATGCTCCTTTAATATATTTATTTTATTGTCATCCTGATATATAGATTTTTTTTTTGGCAACAAACATGGAAAATCACATTCACAATTTTTTATCATAAAAATCACAATTAGATTTTCCCCTAATTTGTGCAGCCCTGTGAAATATTGTACAGAGTTATTGATAGAACAGGGATGAGTTACAAATGATCAAATAAATGACACGCATGAACCTTTCCGAGGGTATTTCCTCAAACTCCTGGACAGTTGGGTCATCCAGCAAAGACAACGCCAGCTCCACGGAGGGCAGAGTCGGGGAGGCGGGGGATAAGAATGGCAGGAGAGTTACAGGAAGGCTTTCTGTCTCGGCCTCTCTGTAAAACAGAAAAAGCAAACGAAACCGGAAAAGAAACTGAATCTCTGAAAAATACTTTCATTTCCTTTTTTACACATTAAAAAAGATTGTTTTTTTAATGTGTAAAAAAACCCTAAAACGATTATAATTATACAAAACATGACTCCTGTGTAGAGGATGAAGACTACAGGTGGACTGCTGCTGTCTTACTTGATTGGCTCAGGTGTTTGATCCAGCAGGTTGGTGATGTCAGAGATGATCGTACCATTTGAGTACACGTCAGCAGGTGACACATCCAGCTGCCCAGAAACCCAAAGTGGTGTCACTTCCTTTCAATGTGACAGAAATTGTGCTACTTTTATAACTAAACAGCATTGTGTTTGATGAGTAGGTCAAACTAAGATTTTAGCTGGTACCTTTTGCAACGTAGGGATTTCTTGGAGGGAGGAAGTGCTTTGGGTGGGATTGACACTGAAGGAACGGGCGTATTTTGGTGCAGACTGAAATTCGACAGAATTGTCGATCATAGGGCTGTTTGAAAGGAAATGTGATGTAAGAAGTGAGAACTAAACAGACAACAAAGAGCAGACAACAACATTTCTCACTGACGAAGAAAATTTTGTGTGCTTTAAATAAAACTTACAGTCTCCTTTTGCAACCTTTGATCCCATTTGATTGGACGCTGTTGATGATGAACTTTATAATCTGAAAAGATGTGAAATAGGATCAGTTGTGTATAGTGACCATTTATATATATATATATATATATATATTTGTTTTTTTGTTTTTTCATTTACCTTGCGTATGATTTTGTGCTGCTGCTGATAGTTCTGTCTTAACGAGTCCAGTTCTCTCCACAAACTCTCATTATCCCTTAAGGGACGGATAAATGGTTAAAAGAAAATGGTTCTTTTTAGTCATGGTAGAGAATATAGCAAGGATGCATTACATTGACCAAAAGTGACAGAAAAGACATTTATAATGTTACAAAAGATTTCTATTACAAATAAATGCTGTTCTTTTGAACTTTCTATTCATCCAAAAATCCTGAAAAATGTGAAGTGAACTGGGTTTCCACAAAAATATTAAGCTATTTTCAACTTTGATAATAAGATGAAATGTTTATTGAGCACCAAATCAGCATTTTAGAATAATTTATACTTTGCCCTTATTGGAATAAATTACATTTTAAAATATATTAAATATATTTAAGTGTCCAAACGAGGCTGAAGTTTACTGTAGGTTTACACTGATGAATAGTGTACTTGTCTTGGAGGAAGGCTCACCTGCACAAAGCCATGAGTTTGAGGTCTGAGGAGTCTTGCCAGCCTTTGACATGACTAACCTGAACGAGTCCCTGAGAGATCTGCCCTCCCTCTTCAACTCCACGGCTAACTGACACCTAGTCATGAAATCACATATACAACACAAATGAGGGATAGCAACTGCTTTGCAGATATCACTGCAGTTTGAGTGCTGCACAAGTATGATAAGGTTTATCAGCTTCACCTTCCTGTGGATGAGGCCCAACAGATGGGGTTGAGCTCTCTGGAAGTCCTCGTGCTGAAACTCAACACAATTTAACTGCCCGTCAGCTTTTGGCAACCCAGCGTCTAAATGTACCACTTTGTGGAAGCCATCTGTGTGTGGAGGTCAGACACATACAGTATCATCTATCATGCTATATGTATACATATATTATCATTGTATATCTTATCATCATTAGCTGAACACCTACACATGTTAAGCTGGCGCACAAAGCTGGTCATGTTGCTATGTTTGAAGTAAAGGGGCAGGACTTCCCTGCTAAACCGTTGCTCATCCTGGACAAGAAAACTGCAGCCATCCTAACAGACAGGAAAAAGGCGGATGTGGTTTGTGTTACATCACGTTATATATGTCAAAATATTTCTAAAGAAGAGCCCATTCTGGTCTGGCAGGAAACACTATTTTGTGCTTGAAGGGCACTTGCACTTATCAACATAACACAGGTTTCTATAATCAATTTGCTTCCTGAATTCAATTACAGTTTACTTCTTTTAACCTGAAATGTTTTTCACAGCTCATGTTTTCTTTAACATATAAAAACTCACAATCTAATAAGGCAGGCACTAGTATGTGCACTCAAATGTGCAAGCACTAGTATTAGTTATAAATGCCTGGTTGAAAAAAAAAATCAGATTAGTTAAATATTAGTAAAACAAAACTTTAATATCTGTAATACTGATAAATAATAACATTATTAAATAAATAATTGTAATATATAATAATTGACTTATAAATTATTGATTTATTCAGCATAATATACTTAATACAATTGTTATGGTGGTTATAATATAGGTGGTTATGTTAATAAAAAGAACTTCAAGGAAAATAAAGTCATATTTACATACATATACAACTGAATAATACAAAAAGTTAATATCCATAAAGTCATTCAATTGAAATGATTAAAAAAAGTCACACTTTAAAACTTTCAATTCACTACTTTGCATTATTCAAAGTCCAAAACAAAAATATTTAAAACTTAAAAAAGCGTCTTTAAGATTATAAAGGTACTACTTTATTTTATTAGAAACATAGGCACCTGTTTTTTTGTTGTTGTTGATGGATGTTTATGACAAACGTTCTATTTTCGGGGCGGAAACACGACGTTCCAAAATCTGTCACATGATGCATCGGTTCAGAGCGCGCTGTCATACTTGCAGGCAACTTTAGGTCGCAAGTTCTAATAATATAATGCGCAGCGATTGGACGGACAGTGGACCAATAGCGAGCTACCGCCACCGGCATCAGCACAGTACACGTGGATCTGTTTTGTAAGACAGGGTATGCGCATGACGTCACCGTCGGCCGGAGTGAATGCGGTCACGCCCACAAGTGGCAAAAAGACTGAGCGGCAGCATTTGTTTTCAGCGTGAACGCCGTGAAAATCACACAAAACACATCTAAAACGGGAAAGAGCTTTGCGATTGACTGTACAACTAGATTTGACCAGAAATCTGAGGTACTGTATATTTTTACAGACTGCAAAAAGCTACAGAACAGACTATATTCTGCATAATTGGATGTTTTTAAATAAACACTGACAAAAAACTATACAAGTTTTAGGGCTGGACGATATGATATACAGTATAACATTAATGTAAGTGATCACTCGGATTTAGACCTATCTATATTGTATTTATATAAAACGTTTACAGGCAAATTTTCTTCATTTATTTCCCCGGCGTCGAAATCAGGCACATATAAATGTCAGGAAACACGATTCCTGGCTGCATGTCAATATCCATGGATCACTGGATCTTTGATAAGTTGTAAGGAACACTATATCGAGTCCAACTTTTAGTTTAAACTGATAATAGTTTGTTTTACTCGCGTTAACGCAGTTTCCCCTATTAACTCCAGTCACGCAGCAGCTCTTCTGCCACTCAGTCCCGCTGAGGGGGGCGTGTTCCGGCGGGGAAGTGACGTTAATGCATTCCCTCTATTACTAATATGTCACCTGGTTACATCAGAATAAACGTCTACTGGGCAATGTTAAATGAATAACAAGCAATTCTGAAGAGTTTATTATTATTGTGAAATTTACATTCTGAAGAGTAATATTATTTGTACTGTTTGTTGTTTGTTTTACGATAGACAAGACATGTAATACTGTAAATAAAGAACCACTATATAACAATTATCTAATATAAACAGCAGTTAAATTAAATCATCTGTATTCTGCATAAAACAACACTCACTTGGCTCCAGCAGATCAGTTCGTTCGTTGACTCAGCCTCTACAAGTGCCCAAAGTTTGCTGACAAAAGCTGGGACACTATTATTGTGTTTCATCTCTCCTGTTAAAATAATAAACTTTCTATGTCTTCTCTGAAGATAAATGTCACACTGCTCTAGATTCGCCGCGCGTGAGGAGGTAAATAGAGTCCCAGGCTGACCAACACGTGAATATTCCTGCTGCGACACACCCCCTTGTCCCTCTATCCACCAATCCTCAACATGGCTCCCTGTCCCTATAGTATACGTCTTGTACGTATTTTACCTGCCTGTCTTACATAATCACTCACTTAAAATAAATGAACTTTTGCTATATGAAAATATACTCTGATAAAGAGCTCAAACAAAGTCCCTTTCAATGCTCTAATACCTGAATTTGTCTGATGATAATAAACAAATAATTTACGCGTCTAAATTAATTAGACAAATTAACGTTGTTGTGGTTTAGCAGCATGGTTTTATTATATGTATGATTATATAATCATAAAAAATTGTAAAATTTAAAATAATTATATATTTTTTTATAAATTATAATAAATCATAAACCCTTACAGACAGTAACCAGTGAGTAACTTGATCTCGTATCTACTTCTTTTATGGAATATTCATCATGCATGTATATTATAATAAGTGAATGCGCATGAGTATGTGGCATTATTGAAAACTAACATTCGTGTTAAATTAATTAAGTAAACTACTTTGTATGAAACTAGAAACGAGTGAACCTCTTTTCACTCTTTGGTGAAGCAAAACGTTGAGCGTTTAAAGAGACTTTTATTTTGAATTGGCCACTTCCTGTGGAAATAGTATCGTTACTGCCGCTGCCTGTTGGTGCACTGAATCAAGAGTAAGTATATTTTGATTAATTTGATTGTGGAAATGAGTTTTAAATCATTATTTATCTATTTATATTCTATTCTATTACCTGTATTATTAATTTCACACCTCAAAATTATATTTTCTGCGACGTGCCCGCACAGCATGCTAGAATATTCTTGAAACGCGATGTTATGGGTGCCATGACAACACACACAAACACAGTGAGGCGCGAGTTGCGCGACATCTCAAACGTCTCCCTTGTCGTCCGGTGGTTTTAAATCTACTTTCCCTTCAAATCTCTGATTTATAATATTCCTGCACAGGACTGATTCAGCAAGTGAGAGATGGTTCAGCTGCACGTCAAACGAGGAGATGAGAGTCAGTTTCTCTTCAATACTACAGTGGATGTCTCGATTGAGACACTGTCCCAGCAGATCAGCGCGGTCTACAATGGAAGATTAAAAGTGGACAGGATCTGCTCTGGTATGACAATGATTTTGTGTATGTTTGTGTTGAAAAACAGTAAAAATGCCTCATATTCTTTAGGTTTAGCCGCTTTATGTTCTTGATCGACAAGTTCATACATAAATGGTTTTAAAAATGCATGTATTTTGTCAGTGGCAGTTAACGTTAACTTACAAGTTAACAAATCATAGAAGTCAAGTAACGTTAACGTTACTCACAAGTGTAAAAATGCACAACCATTACACTTTTCATTTGTATCTCCATAGAAATTCCAGAGCTGGCAGATCATGGGATTTCTCTTTCACCAAATATGCAGGGCCTGGCCGATGATCAGATCATGGAGCTCAAACTAAAGGATGAATGGGAAGACCGCTGCATTCCCAGTGGTGGTGCTGAGTTTAAGAAGGATGAGATTGGACGTCGAAATGGACATGGTAGTCATGTCACATTAAAGTTTAAGTTTGAATTGCCTCATTAATTGCTATAACTGTACTCTGCTTTTCCATTTAGCTCCAAATGAGAAGATGAAAGATGTTTTAAGGAAAACAATGGAGGAAGCCAAGGCTTTAATCTCAAATGTATGAAGCTGATTTTAATATAGAATACTTCTAATCCTCAATACATTGTTACCCTTCTGATATTATTGTATATATATATTTATGTTTACATATATGCATTTTCTTCTGTCTATAGAAACAAGTAAGAGCAAATGCCTGTGTTACCATGGATATGGTCAAAGAGGCTCTAGACCAGTTGCGAGGAGCTGTGATGATAGTTTACCCAATGGGACTGCCTCCACACGATCCAATTAGGATGGAGTTTGAAAATCTAGAGGATCTTACTGGAACACAGGTTTGAGATTTTCCAAATTTAAAATTATGTCATTTATTTACCCTTGTACTTATTTACCCTTGTACATTTACTTACCCTTATTTGTTTGATGAACATAACAAAAGCTGTAATACTGATACGAAGGCTTTTCACTGCAGGCCTCATTACAAGTGATCCCAGATGAAGATGCTCAGCTGTGGTGGGCATCTAAAGAACTGCAGAGGGGCAAAAAGCTGCAGGATTATGTTGGGAAAAATGAGAAAACGAAAATTATAGTGAAAATTCAGAAAGTAAGTGTTCGGTGTGAATTTTAGTTATTTTTTTGTGACCTTGATCTGGGGCCATTTGCATAAACATGTTAAGACTGTGTTTTAAGAACTAGTATGACCAACTAGCAGTTAGTTAGGGGTAATTAGTCTTGCTTTTCTGTATCAAATTATAATTGTATGTATGTGGCTTAAAAAATGTATGAACAGTCTTAAAGAAAAAAAAATTGGTGACTAATTGATGCAACCGACCCCTGGTGTTTGAACGTATCTGAAAATAATTCACTTTGGCCATGGTTTTCCATTAAATGAATTGAAACCTGATCACCATCTTCGCGTTTTCATTATAGAGAGGCCAGGGGGCACCAGCGCGAGAACCTCTAGTAGGTGAAGATGAACAAAAACAGATGATGCTGCACTATTACAAGAGGCAGGAAGAACTGAAAGTGAGTGAAGCTTCTAATTCTTTTGTTTTTATTTTATATCCTCTTTGTATATTGTATTTTGTATGTGTGTGTGTGTACGTATTTTATATATTATTGTAGATCATTCATTATTGTTTCATCTGTTTTGCTCTAGAAACTAGAAGAGGTAGATGATGACACACATCTTCAGTCCAATTGGTCGGACAGACAGGCCCTAAAAAGACAGTTCCAGGGACTCACAAATATCAAATGGGGCCCAAGATAGATTAACAGAGAAAATCACAGCTTTTCTACAATAACTGTTTGGCACATCAGAGACCTTAAACTCCTCTACAGCAGTTTTTATGCAATTCAGTGCCTTTATTACATATGAAAGGTTTTAAAGGAGTAGATCACTTCAGAATTAAAATTTCCTGAAAATTTACTCACCGCCATGTCATCCAAGATGTTCATGTCTTTCTTTCTTCAGTCGAAAAGCAATTAAGGTTTTCGAGGAAAACATTCCAGGATTTTTCTCCATATAGTGGACTTCTAAAGGAACCAACGGGTTGAAGGTCCAAATTGCAGTTTCAATGCAGCTTCAAAGGGCTCTACAGCCACGGAATAAGGGTCTTATCTAGCCAAATGATCTGTCATTTTCTAAAAAAATAAACATTTATATACTTTTTAACCACAGGCAGTAACCTGACGTAGGCGGAAAATGTAGGGTGGGGCGAAAAACTCAGACATCGTTGTTTTACCTTTTATTTATTTATTTTATTTGTAAAGGGCGTTTGACTTAGTCTTTGCACGTTTGCTTTGTAAACACTAGGTCTGTACTTCCGTCGACGTCACGCGTGACCTTTCGTGATTACGTAATGCGTGGCGTATCACAGCTAGTGCAAATCGAGCTTGTGGTTAAAAAGTATATAAATGTTTGTTTATTTTTTAGAAAATGACCGATCGTTTGGCTAGATAACTCTTATTCCTCGGCAGGGTTCATGTAGAGCCCTTTGAAGCTGCCATTTGGACCTTCAACCCGCCGGTTCCTGTTGAAGTCCACTGGAGAAAAATCCTGGAATGTTTTCCTGAAAAACCTTTTCGACTGAAGAAAAAAAGACAGTAATATCTTGGATGACGTGGAGATGAGTAAATTATCAGGAAATTTTCATTCTGAAGTGAACTAATCCTTTAATGAATGTGTCTATGTAAATGTGTGTGTAATGCAAGCATGAGACAAGATTTCTCTGTACTAATTCATTGGCAAAAGGATGCAACACCTTTCCTTTCTTTGTCTGTGCTTCTGGCAATTGCTCAATTTAAACTTGATGCCGTTCAAAGACAGGATGTTTCTGAGCAGCACTCAGGATTGCTTCGGCACCACAGAGTTCATTTGGAGAGCGTTGAGAAGGAGTTACTGAACATATTATTTTCCTCAAGGCAAAAGAGAGGTTACAGTATCGGGAGATGCGGTTTCACTAGAAAGAGGTTAAAGGAAAGTTGAGTGTGATGTTGTGTAATAAAAGAACATTCTGTTTGTGTTATTTTTTTATTTTATTGTACATTTAAATATAATACACTTTTAATAAAAAATGTTTTGCCATCTTAATTTGCATTTACATTCAATACCACATATATTATTCAACAGCTACTTTTATATAAATACATTTTTCATTTAAGCACTAAAACACATCAGGTATCGCTAGCTCTGTGTTATTATGTCCTGTTTTTTTTTTTAAGTAAGGCACCTGGCAATGTTTTTAAAGACATTCCCGTTTTAATGTCTTAAAATTTGATATTTCCTTCACTTATTTGAGCTGCCCAACAAATAATGTGAGTTTGGGGCGGGGCCATTTATTTGGCTGACTAATAGCAGATGAGGGGAGTGTTCAGGAAGCCTGTTTCAAGACAGTTTTGGCAGTTCTAACTAGCAAAAGTGTTGCAGAAATTACACACTTCACCTTTCATTGCAGTGTTTTGGTAACAAAACATTCAAAAAGTTAACTCCCATTTGGTTGAAATTACAGCTACTGCACATTCTGTGTAATAGCTGGCATGTATGACTGCAGGATGCATGTGTTTCCATTGAGGTATGCGTTCATCCTGATTTCCTGAATCACAAGCTCTCTGCGTTCAATTCTCTCCATCAGCTCTGCTGCCTCTGTGGTGTACGTCACATCTTCCCAGCAATACACCTTCCTGTCTATCTCTGCCAGGTTAGAACTGTCCATCAGTGACCCTTTCTCATCCTCATCTTCTTCCTCATCATTATCCTGGTTCATTGGCTCCTCCTCTTCCAGATTAGTTGTTCTACTCTTCTTCCTAAATGTTCTAGGTGTATTTAGATGTCTACTGCAGGTTAGCTGCGTTGAAACAGCTATTAGAACAATCAGAAGGCCCACGCAAACACTTGACGTGAAGAGTAGTCCTGCCATCTCCGGATGCTCTGAGAAAGAGAAAAGTAATTGTGTAGAATAGTTAAAAAAAAAAAAAAAAAAATCATTACCCTCATGTCATTCATGCGTATGCAGTTACTTTTTTCAGAGGAACACAAAAAATTATATTTTCAGTATAACAGTTCAATAAAATAATACATGAAGATTCTTAAAAGTTCTACTCTGTATTGCATGGGGGAACTTATAGCATAGAGGTTTGAATTTCATGAAGGTGAGTAAATAATGATAGAATTTTTTATGTAATTATAGAATTTTATATAAACCATTTTGAATAAACATTTGTTTTAATGGGAATTTTATTTAAAATTATATTCCCTCTATTTGTGCTAATTTATGTTGACTGGGATCATAAAAAATGTTCAAGTATGTTCAGTTTAAGACATTTTATATATTTCAGTTTACCTGTAATGTAGACATATGCCATTAAAGAATTGCTGACAATAATCCTGTTCTCTGGAAACTTTGAACTTCTAATGACTGGCTGTTCCCCTACGAATAAAAGCAAAATAAGACTGTTTCATTGTTTATTTACTTCCACTGCAAAGTTCTATATAAAGTGAACTGTATGGTGCACTGTCACCTTTTTTGGTGCTCTGGTTAGGAACTGAGGTAGTTTTGAAACTTCTGGGATCAGCCTCCTTGAGTAAACTTTGTGGAACTGAAAAAAGGCACAGTACAAGTTATAACAACTTCCAACTCCCAGTCGGTATCTCCCAGGATCTTTCAATACGACGATGATGAGTAATCTTTATTTTTCCTGTGAACTGATTCTGCCTTCAATCAGTAACAAAAGCCTGGCATTTAAAGCAATCACAGGAAGTCTTACACAGGAAGCTCCTGAGAGCTACAAAATGCCAGGCTCATTCCCTATTTTAATTCCCAAACAACTTTTGTCTTCGTTGTAATTTAAGGACGGGAAGAAAACAGACGGGTAAATCAACAATCTGAGAAGAGACAAAGGCCATATGTTAGTCTTTTCCCACGCTCTCAATCAATGGGAAACTTATTTAAAATCTGCCATGCCATGAAGATGGCATGTCATGCAGTAGCTTTAATAAAAAAAAAAGAGACATTTCAAGAACACTCTCATAGAGGTTTTGCTTTAGGAAGATTCTGATGGATATAAGAGCGTTCATACCGCATGCATAAAGGATGGTGATATACTTTTTTGTTCCAGGAGGGCAGGGGTCTTTGAAAATTTCCTGGTCTACAGTAAACAAACACCTCTGTTTGCCATAGCAGATTTTGGATACCACATCACCGGCTCCATGAAAAAGACATTCTGCCAAAAAAAAAAGAAAAACTCTTATTATACAGTAAAAACCACAAAAAATCGTAGGCTGCGACGTAAGTTGGTACAGAAGAATAAAACGTCATCAGCATGCGCTAGTGGTAAACAAATAGACCAAGATGAATCGCTCTTTGGCAATAGTGGTTTTTATGTGTGCTGAAAAAGAGTCGAAACTTGGCAAACTCTAAACTTGTCCCTCAAATCTGATTAGATGATTGGGAATTTTGTTTCAGGATCAACAAAGATGTTGATCCAGAAACATGTTGCTCTTAGTGAAATCAGGTTCTGGCTGTAAGCCAGTTGATAACCACTGATTTAACCTAGAGCCTAATGTTACCATTAAATCAATGTCATATTAAATATAAACCTGACTTCAACCTAAAAACATACCAAATGGTGGAAGTTCTCGTTCCTCTGCTGGGCACAAGTCTTTCTCCTCCAGCGGTCTACCATAAACAGCAGAGTAGATATTCAGCACTTTTGGATACTTGCAGTGCAGCAGAAGTCGATCTCCCTCACATGTTACTCTCTTCTTGTGCTCTGCTGTAAGGCAAAAATTATCAGAGGAGTAAATATTTGAGGAAGAAATAATCAATTAAGGCTTTAAAGAAGGAAATACTTACTAGGTTTACACCTGTATGATACATGGAGGAATTTAGGGGTTCCAGGACAAGGATCTCTGCCAAAGACTTGATGATTAACCAGGAACTGGCAATCTCTATGACCCTGGCATTCAGAGAGCACTTTCTAATAGAGAGGGATAATCAAAGACCATAGACTGTGTGTTATACAAAAGGCAGGGAAAATGTAGTATAGCCTTCTCCTGATTCTGGAAAACACATTATATTTTCTGAGCCAGAAGTGAAAAAGATCTGCCACAGAAGTCTAGTCTCAGTGGGACTATTTAAAAGGTACTAAAATGACTTAATCAAGTTAGTGTTTAGTGGATGCACAATTAAAGGTCTATTTTCCTGAAAGCAAGGCTCAGGCTTCTCACCTGCAGCGCTGTGGTAGCAGAACAGCTGTGATTACGCCACTGGCATCTCATTCCTGGCACGATCCCGGGAAGGGTTTCACTCTGTCCATAAAATGCAGACTGAATAGTTATGGTGGAGTGTCGTGGACACCTGAGGAGCAGGAGATCTCCATCACAGACTTGAGCTGATTGACTGTTGATGATCCTAAACAGATAATCTAATGAAAGGGGTTTGGGAGGGAGGAACTAATAAGTTCATTAAAAATACATTATGAATGCGATGTAGAAAACATTCGAAATATTATTTCACCTCTTCTATTTTTATTTTTTGTGAGGCTTCACATCAAAAGTGTCTATAGATGGTCTAATTGCCCAGTATATAAACTATATTAATCTAATGGATCTAATAAATTCATTATCAGTGCGATTCAGATGGAGTAATTGTCCAGTATATATATATATATATATATATATATACTGGACACAATTACTCCATATATATATATACCGGTATATACATATATATATATATATATATATATACATATATATATATATATATATATATATATATATATATATATACACATACATTATGAATGCGAATCAAAAAACATGCAAAATATTATTTGGATACACCTCTTCTACAATGAACTACTTTTTGTTTTCAAAATTAAAGTCATTTAATTTAATTAAAGTCATTTTTTGTGAGACTTCATATTAAAAGTGTCTATAGGTGGTGTGATTGTCCAGTATTCACAAACATATTACTTATATATTTATGAAAGTTTTTAAATTAATAAAAGTTATTATAAAAGTTTAATAAATAATTAAATTAGTGGGTAGCTTATGATTTATTTATGCCATTTATGTGCCATTAAAGAAAAAATATTGTAAGAAATGTTATAAAATCTTTAAAACATGGATGAAACCATCACGGAGGATTTGGCATTGATCCATATGTATTTATTTTAGATTGTATACTTAATAAAAACAACAATTTAACTAAATTAATACAAATGATGTGTATGTATTCGTTTTCTATTATGATTGTTATTGAATATTGCACTCATAAATATTCTTACTGTTCATCATCATTATTGACTCACTTGAGAAATCCGAGAGTCCGTCCATTTCTTTAGTCCACAGTATGAGAACACTGTAAAGTATTTGAACACACAGCCCAGGTGCACGGCAGCTTCTCGGGTGCTGCGCTGAGATCATGTTCAAATTCTTCAATTATTTCTGCATCAAGCCGCGTGCATTCAAGCGCGTGCTGGTGAAAGAAAGGCTGTCAGGAATTCCCGTCTCTCTCTCACCTGCCAGGCATCTCACCCCGCTAAAGTATATTATTCTCATACCACGACTTTGACATCCCACTCCTTTCAAGCCAAAGTCTAGGAAAGCGAACTCCTCGGAATCGTTTCAATCTAAAAATAAGTCAGAAGAAGATATAAGGCAAAAAGAAAACATTTCAAAGCGACGCAGTCACTGTGTTGCAGCCTATGGGAAATAACAAGTGCGCAACAAGTCAGTTGTGCCTGAAAACAGCGACATTCGCATTATGTATTCGAATATGGATGATTTTATGGTCTTTAGCAAGACTACAATTAGTAACAAGAGACTTCTTGACACTCAGAAAGGGATTTTTGAGGATGATGAGGAATAACACGTTTGAACGGGGCGTGGCGGTGAATGCCTAAAATTGGCAGTGCTGTAGGAGTTGAGAGGCACTGCCCAACAGTATTGTAACCAATCTGATTAAACTGCCTTTACAATCAACAATATTTCATATAATTATTGAACCGACTGTCTTTGAAACTAAACTTCTGGGACCCCTAAGCCTTTATATAGTCTACATATAGCCTGGGTTAAGAGAAAATGTTTATTCATATTTGAGTGTGTGTGTGTGTGTGTTTAAAATAATTTATTGCCCGAGTATTATGAGTTTAGTCATGTTTATAATATGCTAGTAAAACCATACGAACCGAGAAGGGTCGTCTGGCTGCTATTGTACGAACGTCGCGTTGAGAATGAAGTGAAATTGCTACTCCGTTGCAGCAGAGGGCGCTATGCTCTTATCTTTTCATATGCGCTCACTGCAAATCAGCAGAAGTACAGCTGCCCGCGTACGTTTGAAAACATTTTACTAGTGTTGAAAATAATATGGCTGGGAAAATTAAAGTTCCGGACGATTGTAGCTATAGAACATACTCTGTTTGCGAGAGTGCCGCTGACAGCAGCAACAGAGTGGAGGAAGATGGCGAAATCGACGGTCCAGCAGTGTTTATGTGCGGCAAATGCAAGCTGCCCATCGGCGACAGTTTGTCCTGGGCAGGCAGTGATGACGAGCAGAACCAAATCATGCTCAAACGTAAAAGATTATTACGTTTTTATTGCTGTTGTATGTTAATTGCTGGTTATAACCTGTTATGTCTTGGGTTGATATACAGTGCCTTTCATAAGTTTGAGGTAACTTTTATGCAGCAGAGGCGCATTAAATTGACAAAAATGTCCGTAAATACTTGTGTTTATGAAATGTGTTTTGAAAATGTTACAAAAAAAAAAAAGTTCTTTTGAACATTCTGTTCACCATAGAATCCTGAAAAAAATTTATCACTTTTTACAAATTAAGCAACACAACTGTTTTCAACATTGATAATAATAAGAAATGTTACTTGAGCACCAAATCTGCTTATTAGAATGATTTCTGGAGTAATGATGCTGAAAATTCAGCTGTGCCATCACCGGAATAAAATACGTTTTAAAATGTTTTAAAAAGTACAAAACAGTTATTGTATGTAAATTGTAATAATTTTTAACAGTTACCTTTTTACTTAATTTCTGATCAAATAAATGCAGACCTCAATGTCAGAGACCTCAAAGTTTTGAATGGTGGTTAATGTTATTTTTTTCATTGATAATGATCACATCTAAATATACATTTTTGCATGCATTTGTTAAAATAGCATAAAACAATTTTGGATAAACAACAAAACAAAAGTTACTTAGCTGAAATTGTAATTATACATATAGGCATGTACTAAAAAACTGACTAAGCTACACATGAAGGGAGTGTGACAGTAATGTTTTTAGTACATGCAATGTCTTGATTTTTGCACCTTGAATTTCAGGTATCACTGACAATATTGTCATAGGGAAAGAGCCCTTTGTTTCTGGTACCCAAAAGGAGCTTGGATGGTGAGATATGTGTTTATATACAGTATATGTCATAGATGTGATTTTAACCACCAAAACATGAAATCAATGTCTCTGTAAAATTGTCTCTCATGTTTAGCCTCGTTGTTAATCTCACCTGCCATGGGTGTGGTGCAGAATTAGGAATCATGTACATATCAACCCCCAAAAAGCTTGATTTCAAGAGATCCCTTTTCTGCTTTAACGTTGAAAATATTGAAAGGTAAGTAGCCTATTGTTCACAAGCTTGTGTGCTGTTTATCTTGGGTCATTTTGGATTTTTGCATGTTTACCATAACTCATCATTCTCATTGAGGACATGTTTGTTTCTCTCTATAGCTATGTAGTGGGCAGTCCAGGCCAGCAGATGCCAGAATTAGACAGACAAGACAGACCAGTGACCCTGGAGTACCAGAACACTGTGGAGCAGCAGATGACAGAGGTAAAGTAGTTCACTTAGAGACCGTTTAATTATTGATCTATGAGGATGATGAAAACCGATGTAAATCTTGTCTCTCTCTCTCTCTCTGTTTAAAAATAAGCAATTTCTTTTGCACAACAAATGTAGAGATGAATGCCAATATTGAGTGCGTATAGAATATGACAGAAAAAATAAAACAAATCATATAAATCTGTATGGGGTAAATTAATTGTTTTTAAAACATTAGATAAAATATATATATTTTTAAATAAAATAAATTCAAACTAATGTATCTCTAATAATAACGTGCTTTAGTATGGGGGGTACAAAGAAGAGATATAAATATGTAGAAAAAGAATAAGAATATCTGCTTCTTTTTTTGCTGTTTTAAAACGCAGAAGTAAACAGCAGATGGCGCTCTTGTGGTGATACCAGAGCTCTTTGTTTGGTCACTGAGTCCGGCAAACAATAGATATTAGGAGCTGTTAAAGAATTTGATCTAGAAGGGAGTGCTGCCAGTCTGTTTGAGATATTTGAATGTTTTAATTAAATTGTCCATGTCTATGTGTTTGTCAAAGAAATCAAATGAAAACCTCTGATAAGATTTACAATAAGATTCCTGTGGGTGATGATGAAATGTCTGCAGCATAGTGTGAAAATATGTTTTAGTAATTTTTCAGATATGTACTGGTACATTGTGTTCTGGCAATTATGTGTTTTATTTTTTATATAGTCATGTCCTTATGCCCATGTCATTTTCTAATATACCTTGCAGATAAAATCCCTAGCTGTGATAATAGGACAACGCCTACTGGAGATTGAAACTAACCTCCAGTGCAGTTCTGAAAAATGATGTGGGCTGTTGTTTTATGACTGAGGATAATAATCCCTCATGTCTGTCATGAATGAGGTTTTTGGACTCTTTAGTGTAAGATAATTTTGTCTGACTGTTATGCATTTACTATACAGTTGTTTGCAAGTGACACACACATCTGTAGTGTCCTTCCTTTTATTAATGTCACAAAACACATTATAAATGATGTCCTTGGATATAGATACATGCATATATTAGATATAACAACAACATTTTATTGTTCTTTAAATTTTGCTGTAGGCTACTGGATGTTAGAGAAAAACTATTAATGGAAAGCATGTGTTTGTCACCATCTTATATTTTGTCAGAAGTGATCCTTGTGTTGTTGTCATGTGATGCACAGGGTGAGACTGCACCATAAATACAATGTTAAAGCATCACACGTGGTGTTGTTTTTCCCTCCACTTGTTTGTTTTTGATATTTCATCTTTTGCATCAAAACATCCCTGCTCCAACCCTCTGGAAAACTGGTTCAATAACAAGTGGATAGTGCATGAGGATGGAGGGAGGAGGGGGGCAGGGTGGCTCAAGCCATTTTTTTTGTTTACAGTTCCTGTCTAATGTGCCTAGCAACACTCTCCACCAAGAGGCGGGAAAAAAAGACTGCAAGAGACCCCTGAAGGCGCGCGCCCCCAATCCCGAATGCTGGGGTAGCATAACAACAGCGGCTGAGAGAGAACCCGCGCGCCTCGGACCAACCAGAGAGCTGTATCTAAGGGGCATGCTGCTATGGAAACAAAGCGCACATGCTGTCGCTAGAGCCTGTTGCCATCGCATCCGTCGTTTCCTTATTTGCTGGAGAGCCAACCAGCTTGCGAGGCGGTCTGTCAGTCTGATGACGTTGAGCGTCAATCGTTCGCAGGGGCGTTGTCTCTATCTCCCGCGCCCGCAGAGACTTCTTCATTCTTGTGTCTTCGAACTCCTCCTCCGTTCTACCTGTTTACCCAGTAGTGTTAAAAATAGGAACCAGAGGTAAAACAAGCTTATAGCACATTGTATTATTGCATCATTTTTATTGTTTGTGTCCAGTAGAGGGAAACAGCATCACTCTACATGTATTCTACATCCTTTCTAGCTGTACTAGTTCATGGGGGTTCATCTCAGACTCAGTAAAGGCCTGTGCAAATTCAAGAACGATAACATGTACCTAATTATGTTAAGCACGCATTTTGGTGTATGAATATCTGAACATGCAATATATCAGAAGAAAGAACAGAGTCTCTGCTTTTAAACAATACACACACAAATTGTTATCCCTTACTGAAATTAACCATGGTTTTATAGTAAAAGTAGTAACCATGTTTTTTGGGGGGATTACCATTTTTATAACCACAGTTTTACTACAAATGCCATGGTTAAACTATGGTGGTTAGTGTAGCAAAACCATGGTTAGTTTGTGGTTACCATGGTTTAACTAACCATGTTATTTGTGTGTGTGTATGTTTTTTTTTTTTTGCAGTAAAACCATGGTTCATTTTCTAAAAGGTACAATATGTAGGATTTTTGCAGTAAAATATCCAAAAACCACTAGGCCAATGTTATATATTTTGTTTAGTTGATTACTTACAATATCCCCAATGTTTCCAGCTATTTGTAAATCTTGAGAAAATTGCGATTTTAACCAAGGAAACGGGACGTGTCAGCAGGGGTGAGGAGTCGCCAGTCAATGGCGTCATATCCGCGTTACCCTCGGTTTCCGCTCGTACTGCCATAGTAACCATGGCGACAGACGTGGACAACTGGGTTATGCTTAGCAGGACGCTCATGCTGTTGTTGTTTTGTTCAAACATTATGGACCATGGCAAGCGACTGAGACAAAAAGAGGACTAAAACGAAGATCAACATCTTTCGAGAAGCCGAGAGCTCCACGTCCGGGACTAACTTCGACTTGACAGAGACGCGAGTATTGCATGTACTTTATTAGACAGGTGAGCAAATGTACATAACACTAATCAATGTTATTTAGTTCAACATGATGAAATGTTAGAATATGATCTGTATGTTATTCTAATGTTGATCTAGCTTACTGCTAGTCTCATATAGCCAACTAACAACCTAACTAACAACATTCAACACACTCAAATGCAGTTTAGTGTGATAGGGTAACTGTTAGAGCCAGTGAAACAGCGCTGCTTTACCTCAAGTTTAATTCGTCTAATAAACTGACCTGTGTGAGTATTAATTCAGCACTTGCGTGTAGTTCAGTAGAATGAAATGTCCTTATTCCTTTATATCCGCGGGACTTGCATTGCGTGTGACGCTGGTATATGTCTCTCATTAGCAATCGCGCCCTGCTTCATACCAGTCATGTTAAAAACATCAATGTATTCACTCATCCATAAAAGATCCATCAGCTTGACGACAAGATCCATAATTCCGCTTAATGCTTTGCGTCATCGATATACGCCTATTGTACCTTTAAGAGATTCTAGCTTCATGCATTATTTTTTTTAATCAACTTGAATGTGGGTGCATTTAATTTTAAAAAAGCTACTTTTTGAACAAAGAAAATCAAGTTTTTTCTCCTAAAGACTACAAGGTGCATAAGCAATGCTTGTATCGCTTGTTTCTGCTCCTTTGCCTGTGTTTTGATCCTGAGATTCTCTATTCTTTCAGAAGTTGCGTAATAGCCCTCCTACGGTATAACCGTGAACACACGGAAAGCCGAAAAATTCCAAGTGTGGGTATGTGCAGGTAGGATTGACGGGCATGATGAAAGGTTACGGTTTGGCGAAAGGTGTTTATCATTGGTCGTGAAAGCTGTCTGTCAGGGTGTGGGCTAGGGTTTTGTGTTCCCATTCAGTCGGTTCACTCAGTACAGCACATGACTATGGGACGCTCTTGCGCCTGAAAGGCCAATGATGCCGACGTGGGTGGGGTTACCTGCCCACAGCATATAAATGCAGTCGTCATTCCCTTTGTTCTTCTGCTAGAACACCATCACGCCACATTTTCGCAAGAAGGAAAGCTCACGGTGGTAAACTAAGGCAGAAAAGAGAATGTTTTAGCACAAGTTTAGCTTCGCTAACGAAGGGCTGATGAGCTTTTCTCAAACAAAATGTCCAAACATGCCACATTCACAAGAAAACCCATGGTAGTGACTCTTTTTAGCAAGTTTTTAGCACAGCTAACAAATGGCTAATACATTTTTTAATGAGAAATATCTGAACCTTGTTCTGGGTGTTTGTGGTATACTCATCATGAGCACTGTCCAGTGTGTTTGGAATTGTCCACGTTAGGCTGGATTTCTCCAACCCAGAGGCATGTGTGCACTGCCGAAGCAATAAAAATTCTGTATTATAAATTTGAAGGCCAGACAAGTAGTTGAGGGTTGGTTTTTTAGGGAAGGACTACATGCCTGCGCACATGTATTCAAACGCACATACCTGTGGAGTGGGCTCTTAATACGCATGTGCGCGCCATCGCCGTTCTCACGTGTTTGCGTTTTTGAAGTTTGCATAGAGAGAACTTGAAAGAGTTTTCTGTTAAAACGGTGTCGTGTTATCGGCCCCTAAGTTAGAAACTAATGATCGTTGCAACGGAAGTGAATCAATCAAAACTTTAGCTGGAAAATAACTTTATTCTACAGCTGCTATAAAACCAAAACAATCTCTGTTACTTTAATTTCCTATTATCACTGTAAAGCCGGTTTGGAACAACAATCCTTTGTTAAAAGCGCTATATAAATGAAGATGACTTGACTGCCGGCAGCTCTATCAATCCGCACTCGCATGCTCAGTGGGGTAGTGGCCAGGCACAGTCCGCTCCTGTCTTTAGGTGCTGATCCAGATGTGGCGATCGCCGTTTTATTGCCACATCTGGATGTGGCGATTTATGGATGTGGCCCGCCGTTTATGGGGGCCATGGAGAGTTGGAAAGATCGTGTGGAGGCCGAGGAGTGTCAGTGTAGTGTTCACGACAAGGTTCCCATGGCTGCCCCTGAAAGCAGAACTTTGACTGTCGGGGGAAGGATTCTGTCTCGCTGGATGTGGGCGAGGAATGGTCTGATGATATATTTTTTTCAAGCAGGCAGATCACGGCTCCTCCGAGGTGGTGGTTGGAAGTGAAGTGCGGGCTCCGAACATGGCATAAACGCCTAAAGTCATGTTGGGAGTGCAGTCTCCTTTGAGCTGCCTGTCCTGTAAAGTCTCTGACTCAGAGTAAGAAAGGAGACTTGCTTTGTGCCCTGTGCGAGTTGTACACAGGTACATTGAACAGATGCAGGCTATGCACTCATCTGACCAGCTTTTTGTCAAGCGACGTCTTTCCCACTGGATTGTAGAAAGCTATGTGTATAGCATAAGGAGTTGGTTCTGCCTGGAGGAGTGTGTGCGCACTCAACGAGGGGCATGGAAACATCATGGGCATGGTTTAAGGTTTTCATGCGGATGCCAGTTGGGCATCACCGTGCACGTTTGTCCAGTTTACAGACTAGATGTCACTGCGGCGATGGTAGGTCAGTTCGTGCTCGCCGCAGGGGTTTTTTAATCAGGGGCCGTCGCCCCCATGAAAAAGGAAAAGGGGTATGTGGCGGTGCTGGTCCCTTGCATTTAGTTCAGCAACTTTGCGGGATGTGAATATATGTCCCATAGTCATGTGTTGTACCGAATGAACCGGCTGAATGGGAACATTGAGTAATGCAAATAATTACTGTTCCCATAAGGAGGGAAACGAGGTACAACACCTCGGCTTGGTGAAGAGCTGGACTGAACAAAGGGAATGACGCATGCAACTACATTTATATGCTGTAGGCACCCCGCCCATATCGTCATGTGTCGTCATTGGCCTTTCAGCCATGTCTTCCCATAATCATGTGTTGTACTTCGTTTCTGTCCTTCTGGGAAGAGTAGTTATATGCATAACTCAACATTTCTGTTGTAGCAATTCACCTTTCGGCACACCTCATTTCAGCAAGCCTATCACTCTGACCTGCAGCTATACCGGTCTCAAAAATTACGTTAATGGCAGGGAAGTGTTGTCTCATAATGATGGAAAGTTCCGTCAATGGCAGGGAAAGACCTAAAGCCAGACAGATTCTGATCGACTGTCTGTCCATGTTTTATCTCTAATCAGCTGGAAAGAAGGGATTCCAACGATATTGTTTCTCTGTATCTTTGTTATACAGTAGACTTTCCTATTCTCAGAGAATTAGAATGATTATTAAAACTTTATTGTCCTTGTGTGAACGGGCCGTAGCTCTGTATACGTTCAACAAACACTTTTAAGATAAAAGGTACCTAAAATATATCAGATTTGCTCATCATTTTCTTCCGTTTTTTTTCAGTGTCCTTTTGTTACGACAGGCGAGTGTATTTCTGTGTTCCAAACCATTGATTCCATCACTCAATCGATTCGTTAAACAACAAGCGTTCACGGTTAAACATGTCTTATTGTCTTTTATTAAAATATGCGTGACAACAAATCTCACAAAACAAACTTCAAAATGAAATGCCTCACTCGTTCACAAATTAAATGTCAAAGTGCTGCATTGAATCTCAAAGCAACAACTCGTTCAGTCGATCAAAACAATGAAATTCTTCACAACATGCTCTAGGAAGCCATTTACTCGTTGTATAATGAATTTTCGAAAGGAAAGCCTCAAAATTACATTAATAAACGAAAAATATATGAACCAGAATGTATGTGAATTATTTCAAAGATTTAAAAACACGGATTTGTTCACGAACAAAACATGACTGAACTGTACATGCTGTTGTCTGTGTCCTTCTGTACTGAATTTTTAATTCATGTATTTTTCTCCCATAGCCAAATTTTTTTTCCACCTGCTCCGCCAGCCGCTGTCATTTTGATTAATGGATGCTGGCTGCAATCTCAGAGTGCATCTCACTTGAACTGGAGTGCTGATGCGCTGCACTTTCAGTATGATCTTACCCACCCCATCCACCTTCATCTAAGTGTCCAGACATAAACACACGCACACACACACACACGCACACACACACACCCTTTGTCCTGGAGGACTGGTGGGGTGGTAATCAATAATGTAGACAGTCTGATTAAGCGAAGGTTACTTCATTGCAAATAACCCCATGAAGCAATCGACACAAGGAGTGCAGAGACAAACCCTCCAATAGTAGTGTAGCTCAAAACGGGATTTGCCCGTCCATTCTTGCTAATATGTAAATTGCATGTATAGGTTCTATGAAACAGCTGCCTTTTCATTTGCGTGTATTCGCCTCAACATTCCTTGCAATTATGATGAAAAGAATTGTGACATTTTCGAACTTCCTGAAGTAACACAACATAATGAGGTTGTTAGAAATGCTGTATGGATTTTTGTTTTTAATTGGCCAAATGTGTACATCTAGTTTAAAACGCATTTAAATTAAATTAAAATAATTTGGTGATTTCTGTCATCTAAACCAAAATTCAAATATAATTGTTTTGTAATCGTTGTTTATTAAACACCTGGACACCATAAAACCCCTCTGAAGGTAGCTTGTTCTCTGGACAAGGGTATTTTCATGAATATCAGATTGGTGCAAGTTATCACATAACAGAGTTTTATAAGGTTATTATTATACTGAATACAGGCCTATTACATTTTTTTATTTTTTATATTACACTGTTTTAAAGTTTTGTAAATGTTTTATAAATAAATTTAGCTGAACATTTTAAAATAGTGTAATTTTATTGTGACAACTTAGTACTTGCAGTGTGACAACATTTCCCTCAAAACATTAATGTGTATCTATCTATACAGAAACGGACTTTTCAGAAATAAACCTACCCTGAAAAGTCTCCCCTTTTTATACTGGGTCTGTGAGGATGGTATTAATTGTCTGTTTTTCAGACAAAGAAAACGCTCCTCAGCTGATAAAAAAACAAAACATTGGAAAACAGGATTAGTCTAAGCCAAAACAGATTGAGAGGTCTAAGCACAGCAAGAGGGCCTTTATTTGACTTTGAGTCTAATGATGGTCTTTGCCATGTAACAAACAGTAAATAGGGATTTGCACACCCTGGACCCAGCGTTTTAAATTGTGACGATGCTGTATTAACATGCCCCGGTTGTTTAATATTGATGACACTAAAGGATATCCGGGATTTATTTATCCTTCCTTTAGCTCAGGTTATGATGTCAGCAGGTTAACTCTACATTTGCGGAGCCCTTCTATTCTTGTGTTAAACTCAGACATCATGTTCTTAATGGAAGACTCATTTCTGTTCTGCTGACATCAAGTGCTTCCTGACTTGTGTTCCTGTTTACATTTATATCACTGAATCGGTCAATCAGAACTTACTTAATACAGTAAAATATTCTGTATTTCTGTATTGGTATATTCTGAGGCACTTGTCATAATGATTTTGTTAAAATTCTGTCGATTGAGCTTAATTTGTATAAAACACAGAATATTCCTCTACCAAAGCCATAAAAGTAGTAATCTGGTCAAATCTTACAAAAGTTACATTAAAGCTATAATGTTTTGTTGGACTTTTACTGGGAAATACAATGGTATTCATTGAAGGACCATTGATTCCATGCTACATGATGAATGTGGTAATCATTCACCATAGAATGTACTGATGTAGCTTTGTAATTCTATTTTATGTCATCAATGTTCCATGGAATTATCTCAGCATTTATTTGTTAGGGCTGGTTGGATGTTCTTAAGTCAGTTACAGAGCTAAAACATTTAGGTAAAAGCGGATGATCGTTTGAAGTCAGGCGTTTGGTTTAAATGTTGTTCTACATCACTATATCTCGCTGCCAATTTATCCTCCGCTCATGTTGTTGTTGTGAATTACTCTGAATCAGATGTTATTTAATCATAGCTTGTTTTCACCACTTTTCGCCAAAGGATTTTCAGTGAGTGTCGTCCTTTGTAAACAAAGAGTTTTGCTTTAATATACTTTGCAGCCTCTTTTGTCCTTAAGCTTTTATCAGCTTAGCTGCACAGACTTATCTGGGCTAGAGTGTTTGTGTCTGTGGGTCAACCCCCCCCCCCCCTTTTTTTGGGTCTCCTGTACAGAAACACAAGAGGGTGTATAATATAAGTGTTTGTGCATGTGAGGCTACAGCTGACTGGATTATTCGACACAGGGTCTTTCAGCTGTCACTCATTTAATGGTTATTGCCGGGTTCTCATGGGAAAAGTGTATAGAGTTACACCAGGTCACCTGTTTCTCTGTAAATTTCTGTGACAAACTCTTTTAACTACCATCAAAAATGATAGTTTTATTTTTATTTAGCCATTTTATGTGAACAAAAAATATACAACTCTGAAATTTAAGTATTGTGCATTTATTTGTGTCAAAAAACAATACATGCTGCATTAAAATAGAAAATTCAGAACACAAATAATAATCTTTAAATATAAATATTTAAAATCTTTTTTACAGTGTTAAAAAATCTCTTTTAACTTGGCAAAAAAGCAAATCAATACAAAACTTACAAAAGACCTTCAAATGTATCTTCACCATAACAAAAGTACAAAGACGTGTCACCAAAAAACTGACATCACTTTTTTTTTTTTAAATCCTGGTGAGCATGCAAAAGTGTAGTTGAGATCAGAAAATTTGTTCACAGCTCATAAGTCTTCTGTGCACGTGAAGACTGTGAAAGAGGTCTGCTTTGTAAATCAAATGTGAAAAAGACAGCATGAATAATTTTTAAACGCATGGAATTAAAGACACTTGAGTTCTATGTACAGGCAGATTTGAATCTCTTTCGTTCAATGGAGAGAAAACACCACCCTGGTTATAACCAGGTCAGCCATTAAATATATACACAATATTGCACAATTTATTACTTCACATGATGCTCTGCAGATTAAATGAATCTTATAAACGAAGAGTTAAAATAATTCTGAAAATCTTCCATTACAGCCCAAAGGCGGAATGCAAGATATTTAAGGCTATACAAAATGCCAGCAATCTCCTACAGGAGAAAAACTAGGAATGCTATCTTCCAATGAAATATTGACATTTCACTACAGGTTTAAAAGTGAGGCTATTGAAAAAGTGAAGCATTGACCTGAGTACAATTACAATTTGAGGTTGAATAAAGTAAGAGCTTAAAAATCACTAATATTGTTTGCTCAAATAAGCGCACTATAAAAAAAACCTTCCAACCATTCATTAACAGTCTTTGTTGTGTTACTGTACATGAACATATATTAGTACACACATTATTGTGGGCAGTGACAGCTTTGTTTCACAGAAGAATTGTGCGTTAAAGGTTGTGGCTCAGCTGCTACATGGCACTTAGACTAGAAGCCTGTTGAACGTGCTGCTGCATGTGAACTTGGCTTTCAGTGTCTACTGTCCTGAGGCTTTGTTACCTCAAGATCTATTTGTGTTCTATATGTTCTCTGCAACCTGTGTATGTCATCCCAAATAACTCCCCGTGGGGTTAGCAATGTATCTGTTCTGCGTGTTAGTGCAAGCATTGTTGATGAGAGAATATGGTACTGCATACATCTGATTTTATATAATCGAAAAGTTCTCATCCTCAGCACAGGGTTTTGAGAGCCCCTGAGGCGCAGAGCAGAGTTTGCATATGGTAAGGAGTTGGAGACTCCACTTCCACCGCAGGCTCTGGCCTGAACGGGGGCAGCTGGAAGCTGAAGGGCGGCAGCTTTTTCTTTAAAATCTGCCCGATACCCATGGAAGGGAACTTGCTGCGGTGCTGAGGGCTGTCGGGTTCTTCGCTAGCCCCGCTGCTGGGAGGGCTACCGCTTGAATCTGAGGAGCTAGACCAGTCTGAAGTGGGAGGCTTTTTTTTGGGCTGAGGTTTGACGATGAGGACAGGTGGGCTGGGGATCGTGGCCTTCTTCAAGTATGAGCTATCGGGCTGAAAAGCAGACACATGTCGAGGCGGAGAGAGTGCTCCGTTGGTCAGTTTGTACCATGGTGATGGAGGAGCTTCTTTGCTTGGTTCCTTGCTTGCGGAAGCCCAGGAATGAGCGCCGAGGGAGGAAGGTGGGCGAACAGGGATGTTGACAGCTTTTGAGGGTTCTTTGGAGCTGTCTTTCTGGGGCGGCTGGGTCTCGGGTGTAGGATGGGCTGGCTGCGGGTTGTTCGGGAACAGGGGGTGGATCTCCAGGTACTCCAGAGAGGAGGACGTGATGCAACCACCACGTCCTGAGTAAACATCTTTAAAACCTCCAGTCACAGCTTTCAGAAGACCTGAAATTGATGGGAGAAAGTTTGATTCAGAGCAGATCCAACTCATGTCTTTATTTGTACAAGCAAATATCTTTATATTACTGTCATGCAGAAAGTCTGATGGCCTAGAGAAGGTATTTTGGAATTTAGTGCTGGACATTTACATTTTAAACTGCTTTAAGGAAAGATGTTGTTGAACGTTTCCACTGTTTTTGTTCATACAATGAAAGTCAGGCAAAACAGCCTTGGACCCAAATTGATTTTCATTGCATGGACAAACAATATTCAATATTTTGAAAAAAATATAAGCAAGTCATACAGATTTGGAGTGACGTGAGGGTGAGTAGCGGAGTACATTTTCACTTTTGGGTGAACTATCGCCCTAAGTGAAAATTTCAACCAACTGTACGATGTTCCACACGTTATACTGAGTTTGTGGAGTTGAAGCATCTTTGAGGCTTGAAATACTTCAATATAGTCACATGACTTGGCAAACCAGCAAGAGAGAGTGTGGGAAACAGGTTTTCTAAACATTTGTTATATGTGCCCAAAGAAGTCATCTTTAATCTTCAACTTGATCTTTCTGGTGATCTTGAACAGCCCTGAAGGTTTTACATTTGTTTGATTTACTGTCAACCTATTTGCCAAGTAAAAAAATTGGAATTATCCCTCAGGCAACAGAGCTTATTCCAAAGCTGCCTTCAACAAAGAGCTATATTAAAAAACGGTTTAATTTGTACCATTGTATATGTACCATTTGTTCTCATTCTGTCAATTATTGTCACGTACATATAAGTCACGCATCAATTGTGTACCAGATCACGTCTTAACCACATGGTTGGTTCATACATGTCTATGTTTAACGGTGTATATAGTCTAGGCACCTACCAGTTCTTTGTTTTTTTTCCTTGGTGGGGCCTTTGCTCACAGCGAGATAGACGGGTGTCTGCTTGGGTGGAATCGTGATCTTCTCAATGTGCTTCCTCCACTGGGTCTGAAACAGCTCGCTCTTTTTCTCTTTCTCCATGTTGTACTGTTTCTCCTGTGAGAAAGAAAGTATGTTAAACGCTCAGGAAACACATCTGACAAGGTTCTATGAAGGATAATCGTGTAGATGTTGGTTCCTCAAACTTACCCTGTACTCTTTTGAGAGTCTCTTCATTTTGTTGTTGAGGAGGAAGTAGACAGCCAGCGTGTGGCAAGCTTTGTTAGTGAGCACCGCACTCAGCACCTCACTGTGTTTGTAGCCCATTTTCTCAGTCATGTGGAGCAGAACCGTATGGTTGATCTCCTCAATGTGGATTCTGAGAGTTAAAAAGAGATGTTTTAGGTCACAATGACATAAAACGTGTAATAAAAGCAATTTAGCTAAAAGCATATTAGATGACTAACCTATTTAAGTAAGGAACTCCAGTGTGAGGGTTGCCCAACTGCAGCCACGAGTCGGTCATCACTTGGTGGATGTTGGGTCTCTTGTCGGGGTCAGGCTCTAACAGTCTCTTCAGCAGATTGACGGCAGCTGTGAACACAGACAGGAACCAGTGAGGACTTTGTGCCATGTTACTTTAAGTAAACAAAAAAAATTATAAGCACATCCTCGGTCAGTCTCTAGGTTTAATTTATTAATTAGGACAAATAAATCATTATTTATTAGGGCAAACATATAATGCTGTGGCCATTAAGATTCTCCTACATCTTGCATTAGTCAAGGGATGACCGCACAACCTGGCGTCCTTGAGATGCTAAATTACGGTGTTACAAAATGAGGCTAATCTCATTTCAACAGTGCATCATCCTGTAGTAATATATCCTGCCACAGATTTAGTAGTGAATGAATCACCTGTTGTTGCACGTAAGTGTAACGCAATCGCAATGGAAAATTCCACAGAATGTGATTAACCACAAGGTTGACAGTATCATCTCTTCAAGAGAATTAATCTGGAATTCTGCTTGCATCATTTAGGTCAGTGAAATACAATGGTAATGTATTCTATTCTATTCAATGGTAAGATGACTACTTAACTACATACTATGGAAAAATCTTACATCTTTGGAAGGTTTACAGACAGTATTAAAAATCAGAATAAAGCAGATCCTATAATTTCTTCTTGAGAATAAAACGTTTTTTTTTTTTTCTGTGGTTGAAAAATAAGCCGCCCCTTGTCTGGCACATTTGCAGTAAACAGTGTTTATGAGCTGACGGCTTTTCACTGAGAATTTTGACTGTGTTCTTTTGAGTATGTGTTTGTTGCCATTAAAATGTACCATGCGTAATAGTCAAATAAAAAAAACAGAAAGTTAAAGGAGAATTACACAACGGTTACACAAAGTAAATGGTCAACCACTGTTGTAAACCTCATTATAATGACAAAATCTTATAAGTATCTAAATTATGACCTACAGTTTAAAATGATTTCATAAAAATAAAAAGGTTACACGTGCAATGGTGTTGACACTCGGGAATGTTTTTTCTATGGAATACAGGTTTACAAAATAGCGTGACAAGTCAGAAAACTAGATGTTTCATGAAGATTTTCTTTCATCTCCTGAGATATTTAAAATACCAGTGGACACCAGACCATCTCTATTTTTTTCAATTAAGCATTCAAAAGCACCATGCTGGACAACAAATCGGTGCATTCTCTCAAAGACAGCATTCATGCTCAACTTTTAGAGCGTGATACACATTAGAACGTAATTGGTAGGAGTACACAGGCTAATTTTCAGCATGTAATAGTTTCTTGTTCCTGTTTGGATGTGATCTTTGTGGTCATAAATATCTCATTAATATATTTTTGAATATCTCAGATATGCAGTTCTGTCAATACCTGAAGAGATCGATGGAGGTAGAGGGTTCATATCTTTGTCCACCATCCTCTGATGCAGAGCTTTCAGGCTAAATGGCTCCACAGTGAATGGTAGGGTACCAGTCAGCATGGCGTACATGTTCACCCCTCTACAATTAAAAACATACATATAGTCAAATCCAGAGAAAAAGAAAATGTACTCAATATGAGCTTGGAACATGGTGCTTCACATTTAGCAAACTCACATTGACCAGACATCCACTTTGGGCCCATATTTCTTCCTTGAGAGAAGCTCTGGTGCGGCGTATGCTGGGCTGCCACACTGTGTGCTGAAGGGATCAGAGTATCCCAGAATTCCCGCACAGTTACTGAGGCCAAAATCTGTATGGGGAAACAGAGAGAGGGTTGTGTATAAGACAATGTTTATGTGTACTGGCTCATAGAGGGATTGACTTTAAATACCTTCCCACTAGGAGGGATGCAAAAGTGTATATGGCTTCCCAACAACACTAACCCTGTCTGTCACACACAACTGCTAAATAAAGGCCATGCGTTTGCCAACAGTTTAACAGAGAGGTGAGAGGTTGTTCGGTTTTAATGAGATTCTGATTACTCAATTAGTCTTCACCACATGCTAAAGATGAACACTTTCATGTCACATCACTTTAGGTCATTAGGACTTAATGTGACTTTGTGACGTTCTTTGAGTAGGCCTGTGACGAGAAAACATTGCATAATGTAAATTTCATACAATGCATTGCTTACCGATCAGTTTTATGTTGTCCTGTTCATCAAGGAGGAGGTTTTCAATCTTCAAGTCTCTGTTGAAAATAAAAACAACGATTCAAACAACTTTCATCAACCGTCTATAAACTATAAACAAACAAGCCACTATAGTCTTTGAATTGATTTTACTGCTCATTGTGCTCTAAAATAGACTTATATACATTACAGAGTATCTACACATGGTTTCTTAGTTTTCAGAATTAATTCACTAATTGTTGTTCCTTTGGAAAGTCTCATTTAAGCTTCCTTTTCGATGACCTCACACCCTGTGACTTTTTGTTTCTCACCTGTGAACAACTCCTGCCCTGTGCAGATGCTCCACTGCCATGACTAGCTGGCGTACGTATTTCTGGGCTTCTCTTTCATCCAGCCTTTTCTTCTCATAAATGTGGTTCATGAGGTTTCCACCAGGGCAGAGCTCCATGACGAGGTAGTAGCTGTTCTCCGTCTCCAGGATGTCCAGCAGTTGGGTGATGTGTGGGTGTCGGATCATCTGCTGAATCTGTCCTTCACGCCGCAAGTTCTTTGTGACATACGAATCCTTTTTGGCCTTTCTCTTGTCAATCACTTTCACTGCCACCTGTGAAGATAAATAAAAAGGAGATTTTGTCAAGATAGAAAACATAACAGGACTGTTTATTGGTCTCCTTATGTATGGAATTATTCTAACAGCCCTGAACAGGTGAGGTGAGCCAGACCAAGACAGATGGGACTCTTATTTCACATTTGTCTGTCTCCTCACGTCTCCAGGGTTGAATGTTTGACCCGAGTTCCTGTGGAGGACTCGGTGGGGGAGGGATAAGGACAAATGACCGATTTGTAGCCGTTAAAGCACCCCCAGTTGAATGAAGAATGTCCAAATGGCCTGTTAATGCCACCCATTTGTCACCAACATGCCGTGAACCACTAATGCTCTATAAACATTGCGTTAAAAAAAACTCTGCCGCCTCAAAAACACGTTCACGGGCAATGTAATGTAGCATAGCATGCATATGTAAGTGAATTAACTCATTTGTTAATGATTTTGATGGGTTTTTTTTTTTTCAATTAAGGTGGGAGGGGAGGGTCTTTGTTCTTTATCAAACAAGATTTCTTTGTCCTGGGTAAAATGTCCCTCTGTGTGCTGTAACAATAGCCTGGTGCTATTGGTTCCGCCCTTGATCAAAGAGCCCCAGAGCGTGACCCGATGAGGGTTCAAGCCAAGGGGTGACTTGCTGTGCCACCACAAATCATCAGGCACAAAAATAGAATATTGAGCAAACCGATCAAACATGGCCATTTGAGCAGATAATTGGACCAATTTCTCAAACTGAGGAGCATTTTAAAGGAAGAACTGAGGAAAAAGGGGGAAAGTTCCATTTCTAAACAATCCCCAAAAATGCTAATCCGACATTACTGGATCTTAACCGTCGTGTTTTGCCAGCATTGCTGATAAGGTCGATTGGTGGTCGATGGTTAAAGGGGGGTGGCAGGGGGACCCCCGGAGTCTCAGACTAACATGTTGTTTTTCTCTCAGGCAGACAAAGGCGGCGAGGGTGAAAGTGGGTTAGGTATGCTCACAACAGACATGGGGGAAGCATGTGCTATCGCCCACCAACCGTGAGCCCCGCCCCACCCTGTCTGTTTTTCTAGGTGATGTCAGAGAACGAGAGCGAAGCAGGAGACAAGAGGAGCACGAGGCAGCCTTGCTTCTCTTTGTGATTGCTAGCGTTTGCATCATCGCCCCGGACAGACCTCTTCTCCTTTCCCACAGCAACAGCATAAGAGGACTGAACAAATCTCTGATATGCTAAGGTATTTCAGGTCACTCACTGGAAGGTCAATAAACTTTTTTTTATATAAATATGCAAATAGAAGCTTCACCCAGAACATTATACAAAGGAAGAAAGCAGCCAGTTAAAAAGAAAAACACACCATACTCATGAAGGAAGTGACATTCACAGTCAACCAACAATAATTAAATTGTCATAAAACTCACCCTAGAAACCAGATATCATGTCTAACTGAGTAATACACATACTGAATGTGTTATATATATATATATATATATATATATATATATATATATATATAAATATATATATATATATTTCTCCATTAATTCTGAACGGCTGCACACTTTCTTTGGGGTAATCTGAGATTAATACAGACACCTGAATGCAAACAGGCTAAAGGATTGCCTCTGTTACCCAATTTAATCTGTATGAAGGGGAACATGAGACCAGTGAGAAACATCTCAACTCAACCTGATGATCAGGGGATGATGTTTCTGTTATTCTTCCCCAAGGAGCCAACACAAACTGATTTCTGGGTACTTTTGAAATAAAATTCAGCTTTAAACTTCATATTCACATTGATGGAAAACATTTGTTTTAGAATAAATCCCTAAATAACAAATACAACAGAGAATTCAACTCTCGGTCCATACTATAGACTAACCACTGCCATTGACACTGAGGGGGGTTTGACCAAAACAATTTAGACAGATGTTATTTCTCTTTTTAACTTTACATTTTCATATTCAGACAAATGCAACATCATTCTAGTCAGGTCTTGGCTGGATTCTCAACAGCTTTTCGACCAATTTATATTGACTGGATGCTTTATTATGTTTCTATTATTATGACATTTTTTTCAGTGTCATTTAGGTGCAAGTGAGCTAACAATTCTTCAAAGCTTCTCACCTTCTCGCCGGTGGTCGCATGAAGCCCCTCTCGCACTTTGGCGAACGACCCCTCTCCCAGCTTCCTCCCGATCAGATAATTCCCAACTCTTTTCGTGTGGTAAAAGTTTCGGAGGATGTCAGCTGGAGGACCGTTGTTTAGAGACGAAGGATGGATGTTTTCTGTGGCTACGGGTGCCTTAGCTTTCATCCCGAAAATCCTCCCGCTCTCCGTACCCATGTCTGTTCCAGCATCGGGCATCCCTGCGCCTGTTGAACAAACCCGGTGTCCTCTGAATCTACTGCTACTGCTTACTAAGAGCTCTATGAGAATGAGACATCTGAATCCCTGTCCCTAATACTAAACGCTTAGTGGAACCTGACACACGCGCCACCTGTTCGGTTCAGCTGCCAGTCAATCCGCAAACTGTAAGATTGTAACGTTAGGCTAATAGTTTTACGTAACTATTGCATTCGTCATGGAATAATGAATAAAGCCAATTGGTCCTAATCTAAATCAAATTATCAAACCGTCTCATTTATATACGGACCGTTCCGAATGACAAAGCTAAAAAGATTCCAGCAACTCTCTGTATCTGAGTGAGAAATAAGTGAATGTCTGGCTGCCGAGTCTCTCATATATTTGTTATTTGAAGTTAGTTTCCCGGCACGGGGTGGGGGCGTTTCTTATTTGCTAGCAAATCTCTTCTCAGTCACTGGGTTAAAATCTAATCCAATCAGCTCCCGCGCAGGGACCAGAGGCTCCGCCGTCTTCTGAGTTGTAAAATGAACCCCGCCTCTCACCCATGCTTACCTAGACAACAAAGAGCATGTTGCTGTATGGCAAGCCGTTTTAGCTTAAATTGTACCCAGCCTTACTTGTTGTAATTTCATTTTTACTAGTACAAATTTAATTAGAGAACTTTACAATTCAATTCGTACTAGTAGCAATTACAATTAGAGAGCTCTCTAATTCAATTCTTACTAGTAACAATTGCGATTAGAGAGCTCTCTAATTCGATTCTTACTAGTAAGAATGTAATTGCAGAGCTCTTTAATTGAATTAAAGAGCTCTGCAATTGCATTCTTACTAGTAACAATTAAATTAGAGAGCTCTCTAAATCAGTTTTTACTAGTAAGAATTACATTAGGAGTATGGCAAGCCGTTTTAGCTTTAATTGTACCCAGCCTTACTCGTCGTAATTACATTTTTACTAGTAATAATTCAATTAGAGAGCTCTCTAATTGTAATTGCTACTAGTACGAATTGAATTGTAAAGTTCTCTAATTAAATTCTTACTAGTAAAAATGAAATTACAACAAGTAAGGCTGGGTACAATTTAAGCTAAAACGGCTTGCTATATAGGAGAGCTCTTTAATGCAATTATTACTAGTAAAAACTGATTTAGAGAGCTCTCTAATTCAGTTCTTACTAGTAAGAATGCAATTGCAGAGCTCTTTAATTCAATTAGAGAGCTCTTTAATGCAATTCTTACTAGTAGGAATTCAATTAGAGAGCTCTACAATTCAATTCTTACTAGTAGCAATTACAATTAGAGAGCTCTCTAATTCAGTTATTACTAGTAACAATTACAATTGCAGAGCTCTCTAATTCAATTCTTACTAGTAACAATTCCAATTAGAGAGCTCTACAAATGAATTCTTACTAGTCATATGTCTCCATTGACTTCCATTCATTTTTAATTACAGAGCTCTATTGCTGAGGGGTCAGATTCGCAGTGATTCTTGATTTCTATCAGCTTTCCCCAGTGATGGTTTACGTATATCGCTTTTGCCTGACCTATTGGTCGCGACTAAATTATCTATTGATTATTCATTCAAATGAGACGGACATGCTAATGCACACAAACACGTTTTATGCGGTGATGTCATTCATATGATGTGGAGCATTGATTTTATTTTATTTAACTAATTTGCTATGCAATTCACATCATCAGATATAATCACACTTATATTATTATATACACATTTTACTCTATATTTAGCACATGTTATGCTAGCTACATAAATTCATCCCCGTTGTATGTTTACCTTTGTTTTATCAGTTTCTTTCGTTTCCCCTTAAATATTTCTACATTACCTCACTCAATTTGTTTTCTGTAATGTCTATTTAAACACTTTAAGTATTTTAAATGGAGGCAATATAAATGCGGCCAGTCATGCTCTATAAATGATAATCGAAAGACCACCAATGTCACCAAAAACCCAGAATTCCTTTATACTGTATCTTACACACATGGTATTTTGTAAATGAATGCCTTGGTGTTCATCAAAGTGTAATCTTTTAGCGATGACTACCCTGACATGATTAATGGATCTTCACAACAATAGAAGGCTGGCTTTTTAATAATATTGCGTCACCACACCCCAGCTAGCCGGCAGCTTGTTTACATTACCATGCGGTCATGAGACGAGCGATGCACAGAGAAATGAAGGTGAGTAGGTCTATTGCGCTCTCTATTGGTAATATTGCGTAGGACAAGTAGTCTCTCTCTCTCTCTCTCTCTCTCTCTCTCTCTCTCTCTCTCTCTCTCTCTCTCTCTCTCTCTCTCTCTCTCTCTCTCTCTCTCTCTCTCTCTCTCTCTCTCTCTCTCTCTCTCTCTCTCTCTCTCTCTCTCTCTCTCTCTCTCTCATTCAAAGCTCATGTTCCCCAATAACAGGGTATTTTACTTTCTCATTCTCACCTTTATTTCCTAAAGTTGTGACTGTCTTTTCTCTTTGCTGAACTTGAGTGTTTCTGTGGCCGTCATATGGATTTGTACAGTAGTTGTAGTAGCACTAATAGGGCTATTGACTCTGTACCCACCCTTTCTCTGCAAAAGACAACACACAAGTTAACTCTTGACAAAGCAAACAACCTTTGAATTGAAAACCATTCCAGGAGCCCATTTCAGAAAGGAGGTTAGTGAAAACTGTAATTTACGATACATGTATACACAGGGTGCGATTTGTGAAAAAAACAACAGAGGGGGGGATGTTTTGAAAAAGTTTTATTCATAAAAATAAATCATGATGAGAACATGAATTTCATCACTGCATTTGCAGGAATTGTAAAATCTTTTTTCTTATTAACTCATGAAGTAGCCTAACGCAATATGTTTTACTCTAATAGCTTAATATGAACTGTGATCACGCACAACGAAAAACACGTAGCCTAAGAATTAAATCCCCCTCCCAGTACCATGGATAGTGCCACTCGGCTTGACATGTCAAAAGACTTATTTATGAATGGCAAAATTAAATGGCACAACGTAGTGTCAACTTAAACATAAATAGACTATAGTGTAGGCCTCATCATACTAGGAAAACAGTCTTTTTCTGCTTTCCTGTGGGAAAATCCGCAGCTTTCCAGTGGGTGGTCCATTTCGAATTTTATTGTTCTATCGCACTGACAGTTCACATTACAGCGCTTTACTTAGTTTAGGCTAGGCTACTTCTATCAGTCTGCTGAACCATGGATTGATTGCAAAGTTAAACCATCACAGTAGAAAAGTTGTACAACTGTTAAAGTAACAACGTTAACGTTACATCGCGATGCTGAGCTACAGTGAAATGATAGAAAAGACAGATGCATCATCTGTGTCAGTTCGCGTCTACCGCGCCGCGCTAAACGCCTCCGACACACAGCTCTACTGCCCATTCTCGCAAGTGTTGATAGGCTATTACTTGTGAGGAGTAACCAATCAGATAGCGCCGTGGGCGGGACATTGCGCAAGTCTGCAGAGAGGTGATTACAGAGAGGCTGCGGCCGCTATACCAGAGCCAGCCGAAGGAGCGCATTTTTAAAATAAAATTGACTTTAATCAAACCACGGACCCGTGATAAGTTTTGTGATCCATCTCGCCACTATTGTAGTAGCACGATCACTTTGAGGGGGGGATAAATTTATCCCCACCGGGGATAAAAATAATTAAGCAGAGGCAGGGATACTTTGACCAGAAAGGGGGAAATCCCACGCACCCCCCCCCCCCCCCCCCCCCCCCCGGCAAATCGCACACTCACTTACACAAACATTACAGTCACATTGCACACGTACAGTCACATTGATTAAACGAAATACATGTTAAATAGATATGTTTTTAACTGAGTTTTGAATGTAGCCACAGACTGTTTAATGCCTTAAACGTTAGAAGCAAAACCTTAAAGTGGATACGTGATGCCACGGGTAGCCAGTGAAGGTCATGAAGCAGAGGGGTAATGTGAGCAGAACGCCTGGTGGAGGTGAGAACTCCTCGTGAATCTGATGAGAGAATGTCATGAGTGTGCCAAGTTGTCATCAAAGCTTACTACTTTGGAAAATATAAAATATAAACCGGTTGTTTAACACTTTTTTGTTTACTACATGTCTCTATAAAGTATATTTACTGTATAATGTAAAATGCACATGGACTAGCATTGCAGTAAGTATGCAGTATAGTGAACATTGTCTGATTATTTACTGTTCTGTCTATAAACGTTTGAATGATTAAGGACACAGTTGTTCTCCCAACAATCGGCTGTACCTTTCAACCTGCCTCAGACATTATGAGAACATGGTCCACAATATTGGACCTTATTTCATCAAAATCATGTCAACAATCTTGGCTTCTTCTACCTCTTCCACTGTCTTGCCTACCCTTCCACCACGCATCCTCACTCCTCTTCTTCTTCCCGGCTGTTGACCCTGTTTGTTTCCTTGTTGTTCTGCATGGTCAGAATTTGTAACAGTGTTGTGCTCTGTCTATGCTTGCCAAATGAAGGTTCATAACATGCACATCTGAGCTATTTTAGAGAACTGGTGGATCATTGGTTGATGTAGCCCTTTACATTTCCCTTCATTAGTGAAATTCAAAATTCACCTTCGCAATTCATCAATTCAGGAAACATTTACAAAAAAAATAAAATAAAATAAACTCTAATAGAAATGTGTAGAAAATATGCTTGACAGTTTATGACAACTACAGTTGCTCAACAACCATTTTGTATTTAATGCAACTAATACCAAGATGTTTCAAGGGTTAAGAATATTCAACAGGGAACCAGTATAATATATTTTGATCAAAAGCAATTGATAATGTAGGAAAAGTAGGCAACTTGTCAATTGCATGGATGTACCAAAGCATTTGCAATTTGTTCAAAATAATAAGAAGTTCCTTTTATGATGTGCACAAGTGACTAGATGGAGGTTAAACAAGTGGTTTTGAGAATTTCAGTTGTAATTTGAGAAATGCACCAAAGCGACTGAGAAAAACTAAATATTTACCCCCAACGATCAATGCTACAAAAGACGACGTAATCATGATATGCCGCTGCTGACCACCAGAGGGCGCTCCTCACCAGCTGGATAAGTAGAGGTGGGCAATGTTGCAAAATTTGGTATTGATCTGATACCAAGTAAATGTAACACAGGTCAGAATTTAACTGACTGGGAAAAAAAGAATAAAATTTGCAATAATTATAATTTCAACAAAAATGCTGAAAAGATGCAACAAAATGTTTAATCGAAGTCATTGAGTAATTTTAAGGGGAAAAATGACTAAATACAGAAAGCGTGCCACGTTCAGATTGAGATGTTATTGAGCTGTTATATTGTTTGAGGAGTTGAGAATTGTTCTCTTACTGATCTGAAGTGGGTTACTGTGATATTGAATTTTATTTGTATTTTTCCCCTCTTTTATATTTTTGATGTTTTAATTTGGGTTGGTATTTCCATTTTTCAGAGTTAAATAATATAATAATGCTGAACAAACCAAAATCTAAATCTAAAGGATTAGCAAAAGCTTTAATTTAAATGATTGAACTACAAGTTAATACAATGAAATATCTACAAACTATAAACTACAATTAGAATATAAATAGGTATATATTCAAATATCAGAGCTGAAAATATCACTTCAATATAAAAGAAACAAATCATTAATTTGTGCTTTTATTTTATTTCATTGTTATTGTAATTTTATTTAATCTATATTCAACCAATCTTTCAAACAAAATATAAATTGGTACATTTTCTAGTCATTGTCTGTGTTTATATGTGCCTTATAAATACTTGCCCTCTGTAGTGAACCTATGCTACTGGTTTATTACCTGGTGTTACCTGGTGAAATTCAGTAGATAAGGTATGGTAAAAATAGTAACTGTTACAGTACAGTGTTACAGTTAGTGGCAAGCCAGCCAGGAGGGCATAGTAAAAAAAAAATGTATGCGTGTGAATCTGAAACTTTAAAGTCACAAGAAACCAAAATAAACTTAAAAACTGAAGTGGTGCACATAGTGTCAAATAGATGTTTATTGGCCTATAAAATATGAATACTGCATTTCTAATAAACTCATTGTGGTTTAACGTCAGGAATTTCGAAGAGGTCACAGTTCTTTTCATCATAACTGCAAGGAATGTTGAGGCGTGCAAACAAATGAAAAGCAGCAGTTCCATAGAACCATGCATGCAATTTGCATATTAGCAAGAATAGACTGGCAAATCCTGTTTTGAGCTACACTATTGGAGGGTTTATCTCTGCACTTCTTTAGTGGAAAGCAGTGTGTCATGATATGAGGTGAATGCATCAATAATATGCTGAATCTAAATACATTTTCATGACCACTAAACGATTTTGTGATTTGTGCTCTTGACACACCTGCAATTAGTCGTGTGGTATATGTCACTATGTTGAATAAGATGAAGACAAAGGAGAGTTCAAAAAGGTTTATTAAAACAAAATGGTACTTTAATGAAAACAAACTCAGGTAATCCTGTCCACCACGACGAGAAAGTAACAGCGTGTAACACAGACACACAAACAATAACCAACAAACACAGAGTAAAGGTGAGAAACTTAAATACAGTGAGAATGAGGAGATGACCAACAGGTGTGATGATCTGATGAGTGTCCATGATAACTGATGAGTGGGTGGAAAATCAAACAAATGAACACATGAAAGTGAAAGTTCATTAAAGTGAAACTAAAGGTGAATAAGTCCAAATAACTGACACTATAAAACCATTGTTCATTTTTTTAAAGGGCTGCCAGTGACAGGCAGTTGTACCCCAAAAATTTTTCTGACAGATTTGTTAACAACAATTACAGAACATTACACAATCCATTTTAACTTTTAACAATCAATTTAAATAAATTGAATTGCACAAACATACCTATAATAAATGTTACTTGTACACTACTGTTCAAAAGTTTGGGGTCTGTAAGATTTTTAATGTTTTTGAAAGAAGTCTCTACAGCTCACCAAGGCAAAATACATTAAAAACAGCAATAGTGTGAAATACTACAATTTAAAATAGGCTATCTTTTTTCTATTTTAATATATTTTAAATTTAATTTATTCCTGTGATGGCAAAGCAGAATGATTTGATGAACATAGTCAACGGAACAGCATTTATATTAAATAGATTTTTGAATGCAACCGGGGGGTCAAACGCCACCCAAAGAAAAAGCTAAAATAACAAAATAAAATATAGATGTAAGCAATGTTTCAAGTATAGGTACTGCTTTTCAGCGTGATGACAAAAAAAAGTAAACTGTAGTAAACTGTAGGCTATCACATGTTGTTGTACACCCTCAAACTTGTGATTGTCCTTTATTTGTAAACATTTTTTATGTGTAGCCTACTACACACACAGACATTCCCATCTAATTTCTTTCTAACGTTAGTAAATTCAAAAGTTTTTGTTGCTCTTTAACTTGCACTAAAACGTGATTTACCATCCAAACAGCCTATGTAATATTAATAAAAAGGCTTGTCTTCTTTAGAGATACAAGCTCAGAAACATTTAGAATCTGTTGACGTTTTTCATAGACTAGACTAGAGTAGGCCTACCTTGATATGGTGCCAGGATGGAAAATGCAATTTTGTTATTTAACAATAACAGTAAAGATGATTAGGCTACTTTGTAGGCCTATTTGTGAACACACAATTGTCAGGCCATAAATCTAAAAAAAAACCTACGAATTTGCACTTGCTTTGGTGTTGCCAGACCAAATAGACCTCATGCCACACTTTGCCACCCTATAAATACTTTTCTAGACCCGCCCCTGGGTGGCGCGTGTGTCAGGTTAGTATTAGGGACAGGGATTCAGATGTCTCATTCTCATATAGAGCTCTTAGTAAGCAGTAGCAGTAGATTCAGAGGACACCGGGTTTGTTCAACAGGCGCAGGGATGCCCGATGCTGGAACAAACATGGGTACGGACAGCGGGAGGATTTTCGGGATGAAAGCTAAGGCTCTCGTAGCCACAGAAAACATTTATCCTTCGTCTCTAAACAACGGTCCTCCAGCTGACATCCTCCGAAACTTTTACCACACGAAAAGAGTTGGGAATTATCTGATCGGGAGGAAGCTGGGAGAGGGGTCGTTCGCCAAAGTGCGAGAGGGGCTTCATGCGACCACCGGCGAGAAGGTGTGAACACTGTGAAAATGGCACAGGCTAATAATAGTTTATAAGTAGCCTAATTTGTTTATTTATTTGTTTATATAATTCTCTAAGCACGACACTTGTTTGAAAGAGAAATAAAATAGAAATTGGTCAAAATCAGCCATAACCATGACGTAGGCTAAATGCTGTTGTATTTCCAAGCGATATTGTTCATCTATTGTCTAAATATGAAAATTGCTCGCTGAAAAACTGTTGAGAATTCAGCCAATATGCTGTTGCATTTTGTTATTCACTACATTTCGTTTATCCGTTTGTCTGAATGTGAAAATGTAAAGTTAAAAAGAGAAATAACATCTGTCTAATTGTTTTGGTCAAACCCCCCTCAGTGTCAATATGAACCACGAGTTGAATTCTCTGTTGTAGCCTATTTGTTATTTAGTGATTTATTCTAAAAACACGCACGATAAACACAGACGCATTTGTGACCGATTTAGATAGCCTATCTGTACATCCGACCTAGGCTACGTATAGGTCTAAACACGCATATCCGATTCCCCTTTAAATTCGCCACTACAAGGCGAGGACGACACGTTTATTCACAAAGATAGATTTTTAACCCTCTGGGGTACTTCGGTCATTTCTGACCGGATTTTTAAAAATAAAAAAATGTTAAAAATCGTAGCTTCGTCGGAATGGTACGAAACTTGGTCACTTTTATGGTACTTGGTATACGAACACACATAAAAATTGGGGACAGGATTTGAAAAGTCTAAGTGGTCATAAAAAAATAGTCACACTCAGGACCTTCGGTCATAAATGACCGCCCATAGGAAATGAATGGGAAATTGGCAAAAATATGAAAATACAGAGTTTATTTGTGCGTACAATCTACAAATCAGCCACGATGGAGGAAAAAAGTACACAACAGTAAAGGGGGAATCTCTAAAACATCAAGAGTGCAAAACAGACAAATACACTCACACACACACACACACACACACACACACACACACACACACACACACACACACACACACACACACACACACACACACACACACACACACACACACACACACACACACACACACGCACACACAGCTGTGTTTTTGTGATATATGAGGACATTCCATAGGCGTAATGACTTTTATACTGGACAAACTGTATATTCTATCCCCCTACACTGCCCCTATCCCTAAACCTACCCATCACAGGAGACATGCTGCATTTTTACATTTAAAAAAAACATTGTTTTTTATGTTTTTTAAGCTATTTGAAATATGAGGACTCATGCAATGTCCTCATATATCACGTGTAAGTTGTAATACCAGTGTATGCATGTCATTATACACATTTGTGTCCTCATATATCACAAAAACAAAAGCACACACACACACACACACACACACTTATACACACAAAAACACACGCATGTACACAAATGAACGCGTGTCATTGCAAAAGCTAATTTTGGGAAACGTGTGAAATAAAAGCAATTATTCATCAATGTAAGAAATAAAGCGCACAGCACTGAACGCATGAGACTGTAAACAATCAAGGTTGCAAAACACACCCCCACACACCCACACACACACACACACACAGTGTAAGATCAAACGATGGAATTCCTCCTTAGTAACCTCCAGGCCTATTGCAGCACATATGTACTCTTTTTATGCGTTTATTAGAGGTTGAATTCAAATCAAATACTGTCAAACCACCCATACTACTTCTGAATAGGATGTCTACTTCATAAATTGTATGAAAATTATGGAAATGCATGGTTCAGATGATCACTCAAAACATATATGAAATGGAGGCGCCCTTATATGGTCAGTAAGGAAGCTTGGCTTTCCATCTAGTGAAAAAGTTTGGTATGCGCCAAAATAAAATCTTGACTGAAAGCTTATTTTTTGAGATATCAACCTAAAATTTGGAACACAACTTCTTAAGATTTTTGCCTTTCATTTTCTTGCAGTTTTAGATTAAAATATATTTTGTAATATATATATTTTATATAAAATATAAATAATAAAATTTTTACATTGTTCATTTTCATTAACTCAAACTTACATAACTTTTTTTCTGTTTCACTTTCATAATTTTTTTCACTTCTGCAATAATCTGGCAAATGTCTTCTTTAAAACAAGACCAACCATAGGTCTATATTCCAAAGCATTCTTGACTTACAACCATTTAAGTTTGGATAGTGATTTTCATGTCTATGCGAAAATAATATAAGTTTTATTTTTTTATTTTTAAAATAAAATAAAACAACCAAACAAACAAAAAACTTGACAAAAATAGTCTTTGAGAATCACTTATTATAAATTAAAATCCACAACCTGAAAAAAATAGGCAAATATGTGCAAAAACAACTAGAATTCACAAGCCTTTCTACAGAGGCTGTAAATCCATCTAGTGGTTAAAATATGATATTGCATGATAATTATGCTCACTACATCCACCAGAAGGCTCCAATGTGATTTAAAAAAAATGTTTTCTATAGGCCAAGGATCCACTTTAACCTGAAATACAGCATTAATTAAAAAATAATAAAAATAATATATATATATACATTTTCTATTATATTCAATGGGAAAAAATGTATCATAATTATTGCATAAATATTAATTATTTTCATAAAATTCTCTCAAAACACCAAAAAAAAGAGAGAAAAAATATTATTGAACAAAAATAAATTTCATTGATTTTACAAAACAAAAAACAAAAAAACATTGATTTCAGGGGTCCGGTCACTTTTGACCGCGAAGGTCCTGAGTGTGACTGGAAAACGAAGAACCCCAGAGGGTTAATGTTGTATTATGAGGCAGACGTGCGCTCGCTCAATATTGAGGTGGGAACTTATATTTATCTTTGTAGCTAAAGAAAATAAATTGCGCGAACACCGAAACATTCAAGAGCTGCATGGTTTTCAACCTCTGCCCGTGACTTTTATAAATCAAACAGCTTCACTACTGAAAGCTACATTAGCTACATTTCTCAGCGATAACTTCGCTCTAATAGGCTTTATAGCTTCACTAGGCCTACTTCCTGAACTTCAGCCAGCTCCTTTGTTTCCTGTCTGCCATTATTGGACAAACTGATTAATCCAGGTGTGCCTGATTATTGTTACTGAGGCCAGGCACACCTGGATTAATCAGTTTGTCCAATAATGGCAGACAGGAAACAAAGGAGCTGGCTGAAGTTCAGGAAGTAATGCAGCTGTGCATAAAGCCAATTAACACAACAATGTTCGCGGAACTTGATCGGACTATACGTGCGAGCGCGCGCTCCCTCTCTCCCACTGTCTCTCTCTGGTTAATTCATTCAAATACTGGTCTACTTTGTTTCACTTCAGAATTCTAGATCTGAGCTGTAGATAAACAAAAAATATTTCGTTTTCATTGTCTGTTCCGTCAGATTTTGCGCTGCAAAACGAGTCATGATGACAGACAGTATCTTGTCCATGTTGGAAAATAATCATGACCATTGACCACCCAACATGAATTATATAAATAATTTTAATATCACAGGGTCTACCATGTGGATAGTAAAACGATCACAGAAAATCATATTGGGCGGGAATTAATGTAACACAGATATCGGATCAAGTCTGAAGCTGTAGTGTGATATCTGGTTTATGACAATATAGGCCTATTAATTATTGTTTGTTGACTGCGAATGTCACTTCCAGAGTAGGGTGTGTTTTTCTTTTTTACTGGCTGCTGTTTTCCTTTGTATAATGTTCTTGGGTGAAGCTTCTATTTGCATACTTAGAAAAAAAAGTTTATTGCTCTTCCATTGAGTGAAATTAAATATATTCAAAGCATATCTGAGATTTGTTCAGTCCTTTTGCCCCCTTTCACTGTTGCTGGGAAGGAGTAGAGGTCTGTCCCGGGCAGAGCCGGGTAGATTACCTACAAATTGTTGTCGGTTACTGATACCAAATTATATGACAAAAATTGTTAGAAACATAATCCTGTCAGGCGTCGGTTGTGTAAATGCACGGAGACAAAGGAGCATCAATATAAATGTCTTTAATGACAAACTCAGGGAATCAGAGGGGTAAATCCAACATACACAAGAATGGACAGAGAATGAGGGAGAACAGGGTTTAAATACACGGGTAGGCTACTAACGAGTTAACTAATGAGATGACAGGTGAACTAAATGACTAATCAGGGTCACAGGGGAAAAACACAATCACTACGGCCATGTCCACACGGACACGGGTATTTTTATAACCAGAGTTTTTCCTACAGCGTTTTAAAAAAAAATCCCGTCCACACATGCTCGGTCTCCGTCTACATGAAAACGTAAAAACACACAATCAAGCGCGGTCAAGAGCATGCCACGCCAGCAGGCGGCGATATAAACCTTAACCCTAAAGCCACGTTGGCCAATCAGAAGCGCAAATCTGATGTCAAACACAGCTGATAACGGCGCACACTCTGACGTCGCAAGCCAAAACCCCCGGTTTCACTGTCTACACGACAACACTGTAACCGGCGTTTCTGAAAATCCTCACCCTGGCAGGGGTTTTCAAAAATGTTCGGTTTCAGTGCGTTTTCGTGTGGACGAACGGCCGAACCGCGTAAAAAAAGTCACGGTTATAAAAATACCCGTGTCCGTGTGGACAGGGCCTACGTTTACATGCAGCCAATAACCCGTTCAAAACCGGGATATTAGCAATAACCTGGTCACGCACGGCTATGTAAACACCGGCCAAAACCCTAATATGCTCATATCCCGGATTTTAAAAACCGGGATATTTGACCTGGGGTACCCCTTTTCTAACCCGAATTTTTGGTCATGTAAACGTGTATCGGCATATCCCCATGAAAAGGAACATAGATTTGTGTTCTGCGCATGTTCTATTCGCAAGGAATCTTGGTCTTTTGAGTAGAGGAACTTAAGTTCTAGACGCATACAAAAACCCGCGTGCAGTATACCGGAAGTAAACATGGCGAGACGCCATTATTAATGAAGACCATGAGGCACAGTAGTGTCAAGTGCTGCTG